GGGGGAGGAGAGGAATAAAAGTCATGGATCGTTGTATTAGATGGCACAACTTGTAAATATGGATGGATTCACTTTGCATTCGTGTTACACGTTCGGTTACGTGTGGTGGAAATTTTCACGTGTGGTGGAATTTTTCACGTTTCAACATAGCTTCGCGTCAGTAATCAAAATTTGAATTTTTTCAATACTTATTATTTCAAAAGCACAACTTTCATTGATCGAAAATTATAAAATAATCGATTTGATATCACATGCCTAGAATTATTTGTATTTCAGAAAAAGTTAGTAGCGTGCGGTCTAATAATTATAGTTATCACCCACAATATGATTATGACTTATTTTTTCATCCTGTGTGAGGAGGAGATAATTCCACGTGTCGCGTAATTTTGGAAGGAGACAAATATTTTCCGTCGAAATTTTGATGAAGGGGCGGGGCGAGGGGAATACTTAAATTTTGCATGACGTAATTGTTAAACGGCCCTTTAGGAATAAATTCGCGATTTGTCGTACCAACGACCGACCGCCGATGATTTTCTGCTCGGATAGCGCAGCTGTGGGGAAGGTGCAGGCTCTTCGTCGACCCCTCGATATTCGGCAAGACTAAGATGTATTGGGGCGAAAGGAAGGAGCAGTGGGACGAGCACCTGGACGAGTGGATGATGCAGGGCAACTCCACCGCTCTGATGTTGCAGGAGAACGAGGACAACGCCGCCGCGTTAAGGCACGATGACGATAACGACATCGAGAGCGGCCTTCTGCAGCAGAGGGCATCTTGGCTGGCGCGGCGATCCGACTCGGATGTGTCCGTCTCCAGGCTCGCGGTGAGTCTACCTTTCTCGTGTACACGGAAGAAACGATCCCCGTCGATCTGGAACTGAATTTTCCCCATTGCCTGGAGGGGCCAGGTGAAAACTCAGTTGTAGGAACAGAGAGATTCCTGCAGCAGATTTCCCGTCAATCGATTGCCCTCGGTTGTCTCAAAATGGTTGTTTCAATTGTAGTGTTGAAAGCTCGGAAGAAATTCGGGTTTTCTCCCATTTTTCTCCGCGAATTTCTTCGGTTTCTGCCTCAAGGATAGAGAAACTCGTTTGGAAAAATTCGCGTGTGTTCAGCTGAGACCCGTCACATCTGTTTTTTTTCCCGCAAAGAAGAAATTAATAAAAAGTCGAATAAATCCACGGAAAAAAAACACAGTTTTTTCCGAGCCTTCAAAACTGTAGTTTCAACGCAGCTGAATGCTCACGCAAATATTTTCAATCGCGATAGCAGAGGAACCATTTCTTGTCGTTGAATTCTCATTTCTTTCACCGAGCTTTCGTTCGGTCTCTATTCAGTTGCAAGAAAGTTTCTTTTTCCGCGTATGTCAACAATTACGCCCGCTTTATGCGTATTTACATAGCAGCAGTCTTTGTACAAAATACGTTAGCTTCTAAAACACACACACACACACACACACACACATAAAAAAGAATCTTGCGATGAGATCGTGTCGGTGAGCACTTCTACTCGTCGATACTAGGATATGCAATCATCGTTTCGATAGCGGACAGGTGTCTGTTGTGTCCAGGTGTATTTCGGCATTTACCGGACGCGACACTGCTTTCTAGTTATTGAGCCTGAGCAAAACGTCCGAGATGGAGGCGGCTGAACATTTGCAAAGGCGCAGTGTCGATAATGCCAACGAGTCCCGCCAACGTTCGCAACTCGCTCGTTCCTCCCTGGAAGTCTCGGACTCGGTGAGAGACCCTCGCGAGAGGTATCGTACACAGAGCATCGTTCGCGACGTTTCCAAGCCGCAGGGCGACGCAAGGGCATTGCGTCGTAGACGTTTGCATGGCATGGCCAGCGCGTCTACCGGCGCGAACACCTCCGAAGAGGATGTCGAGGAGACGGTGAGGAAAGGCGTCTCTGAGACCGCTCGGAGCAGCGTCCAAGCTTCGGCCGGGTCACGCAAAACCGCTCGTGAGAGACGACGGGAACGTTTCAAAGGCGACCTGCAATAATGAAGAAACGACACGCTTGATTCTTCCGCTTGTAGCTTCAGGAGTGGCTTCTGAATAGGGAAATAGCTAAATTGAAATAACCTCTGTCGGAGCGGCAGAGGTCAATTTCGCGATGCCCGGTGTGCAAAACGCGAGCGAAATAAAAACGTGCGGAAGTAATCCTTGGAGGATAGCTGATGTGGACGATCATTTCGATGCGCTTTGCTCTACGTAGCATTCCCGGTTAGATAATGAGCGAGAGAGCGAGGGAGAGGGCAGATAACGAGAACGATGTCAGAGGGGAAAATATTACCGTTCAGCATAGATGGAGAATTATATTGACCAACTGCCTGCTTTTCGTGATATTAGCGAACTCCGCGTATAACGAGGGCAAACTTCAGCGTAATTGGAAAGCTATCAAGAGGCACGGTCGGTCGAGGAATCCGGTAGAATGATACGTGTAATTACACCATTAGGGATCCGTAATTGTTTCGGAGAACATCTTTTATTAAAAGTTCGTTTATTTTTCAAAGATCTCCGATCAGATTTATGGGTAAAATTATTTATTAACACCTAGACTACCATGTTACCCATATACGAATAACGGTTTTAATAACTGAAAAAAGAATAATTTTATTAACTATTTATTATAGAGATATTGAACATGAAAACAAAATAAAATGGAGCATTTATATATAACATATACTAATGTAAAAGAGTAAAATTAACATTATATATTTATTGTATAATGATCAAATTTACATATTTTTCTCGTGATATTTTGGCAAGCAATTGACATAATTGTGATTATCATATCAATATCTCAAGAATATTTATATTAGATAACATATGAGATATGGAACACGTATGGAAGGGTAGAAGTAGATATCATCATCCTTTCGTTGGAACACACGGTTTGTTTCGTATTCTGACTGTACGTGTACGGTCGCGCGTATTACAATTTTAGGCCCCGTGGGCTTTACACTCGAAATGAACTGGACAGTCTAAGTGTTAATCAAATAATTTGATACTCGATAAAGGGAAAAATGTTTCGTAAATGTAACACTGGTCGCTAATGGGATAAGATTATACACAGAAAAAAGTGCTGGATTCAAATATAAATAATTACTCCGATATATTCCTCGGCAAATGTTTACTTGGATCAAGTAAATTTTACTTGAATCAAGTAAATATTTTACCTTTCAAATTGTTTACTTGGAAAATGCCTCACTTGGATCAAATAAATATTTTCCGAGCAAATTATCCGAGTAAAACATTTACTCGATCCAAGCAAAACTCATTCAATTCAAAGAAAAATGTGCCAAGGAGTACTGGAATGATTATTTATACTTTCTTTTTTATCTACGTATGAACCGAGCAACAAAGATCAATAATAGTCCTCACCTCAGCTGGCCTTCCCGCGGTCGTCGATTCTTCGGAAAGCGGCGAAGCGGCCCCCGCCGCTGTTGTGCACAAATCGCATCGAATCGATGCTGTCGTCGCTCGCGACCCGTCGTAGCTTCTTGTCGCTGGTTCGGAAAGAAAAGCGGAAAACGCGCGTGAGTTGTCGTCGCGTTTGCGACGACCGAAGACGTCTCTCACATAACTAGAGCACAGCTAAAGCGCGCGTCGTTCTCCAGGTGAACGAGGAGAGACACGGGTTTACGTGCATGGCGGCTTTCTTTTCGAGCTCGTGCATCATCACACGCGTATCCTGTGTATCGATCGTCACGTAAGCGGAATTTTCTTACTGGTTTCGCGGAACCGCCGATATCGGTGGGAACAGCGCGGCCGGGGAGATCAGGGGCTGTACCACCGGGCCCATCACGTGCTCCACGTCAGGCGGCTCCTGAATCGGCGGCAGCGGCGACTCCCAGTCGGAATCCGTCGAGCTGCGAGAGACTCTGTTACGCGGGGGAGAGTAATTTCTTCCCGGGGCGAACGCGCAATTTTTTAGCCGGTTATTTCGAACGCGACGAAACACGGCCGGAGGAGAAATCGATAACCCGCGTTCGAACGATCTCGACGGACGATAAGCGACCTCGACGATGACGAGGCCTCTCTCTTTCTTCGTGTTTTCACGCTTTCCGGAAAGCGTGATGCATACTCGAGCGTTCTCGGAATTCGCGTAAACGGATCCGCGCACACGAAGGCTCGTTCAGCTCGACATTCAGCGGCGAATTCGAGCGGCGTTTCACAATTATTATAATTGATCCCGCGGAAGCTTTGCGCGTGTCGATCTACGCGCGGATAAATGCGCGCGAGCTTCCTCGTCATAATGAGGTGCGAATTATCCTCGCGAGACGCAATTTAGTGTGGCCGGCCGATCGATTCCGCCCGGTGTGAGGAAAAAAACACCCACCCTCGACAACTCGAAGCGTTCCGAAGGGGAGAGATCGATCGACGGCGTTCGATGTTGTCGTACACGCCTATTCGACGATGCACGTAATCGCTCGGACTCACCTGCTGGCTATTCTCATGTCGTTGTTGAGATTGTCGTAACTCAACCTGCTGGATATAGGCGGTAGCTTGCCGAACGACGTGGTCGGCGACACGAGATCACCGAGGCTGCTGTCGACGTACGTCGCCGCCTGGATCTCCTGCTGGTACATGGCGTAGAGATTCTGCAGGTCCGGCGGCAGCGCCAGGCGACCGTCTGTCGATGGAATCGCGCGGATAAGCGTGATATTGCAATAGTAATAGTAGGAAAAGAAAGATTGGTTATATCAATCAGAAAGCTGTATCAATCGGTCATTTATATATATATATATATATATCGGTCATTTATATATATATATATTATATAAGCGGATAAGCGTGATATTGCAATAGTAATAGTAGGAAAAGAAAGATTGGTTATATCAATCAGAAAGCTGTATCAATCGGTCATTTATATATATATATATATATATCGGTCATTTATATATATATATATTATATAAGCGGATAAGCGTGATATTGCAATAGTAATAGTAGGAAAAGAAAGATTGGTTATATCAATCAGAAAGCTGTATCAATCGGTCATTTATATATATATATATATATATCGGTCATTTATATATATATATATTATATAAGCGGATAAGCGTGATATTGCAATAGTAATAGTAGGAAAAGAAAGATTGGTTATATCAATCAGAAAGCTGTATCAATCGGTCATTTATATATATATATATATATATCGGTCATTTATATATATATATATTATATAAGCGGATAAGCGTGATATTGCAATAGTAATAGTAGGAAAAGAAAGATTGGTTATATCAATCAGAAAGCTGTATCAATCGGTCATTTATATATATATATATATATATCGGTCATTTATATATATATATATTATATAAGCGGATAAGCGTGATATTGCAATAGTAATAGTAGGAAAAGAAAGATTGGTTATATCAATCAGAAAGCTGTATCAATCGGTCATTTATATATATATATATATTATATATATATATATATAAATGACCGATTAATACAGCTTTCTGATTGATATAACCAATCTTATATAGAATATATATATATGATTATATATTCTCGCTTATGTGAATTGATACGAATTTCCATCTAGATCGTTCGTTACCGACCCTCCATGATCCGTCGTTGCCTGGTGATGATTTCGTCGGAGATCTGCCTCTGTCGGTCGTAGCGAAGCAACAGCAGCTCCCGACGCCTCAGCTCATGCTGCTTCACCAGCCTCTCGCTCTGCAGCATCATCTTGTCTGCCTCCAGCTCGTGCACGCGCAGCATCAGTGCCAACAGCTCGCGCTCCTCGTCCGAGTTGATGCGCGACGGCAACTCCTGAAAAGAAACACGCGCGCTTTCTCATCTCCGTGATCCGACCAAGTTGCCCGATCGACTTGACTCCACATCATATCTCATCGTAATAAGCAAAGTAATGTTGTAAGAAGCAACTCTCACGTCTTCGAGCGCTGCGCTGCGTTTCCGGCAGGCCTCGAGCTCCTTCTCCGCGGCGGCCCGCATCTCCGCGTACCTCTCCTGCTCTCTCGTAATCTCCGTCAGCTCTGTCCACGCTTGTTGCACCGCCACGTCGTCCTCCAGGTCCGTATCCTCCAGGAGGTCTAAGAAATCGAATCCGATCCAAGTATCGTAAATCGCGCCTCGAACTAGGCAGTGGTTGGTGTTCGTTAAAAATCCGTTCTCGTGAACGTCCGACGGCCACTTCGCGCATCTCGACTCCTTCCCTCCCCCCCTCCCCCCTNTCGTTACCTCGACGCTTCACTCACCCACGTCGTCCACCTCGTCTACTTGGTAGTCCGTATCGGGACGTCTCGTGTTAGAATCCCGACTTTTCCCGTAAACCCGGTTGTTCCTCGACTCCCAGTGCGAGATTATGGAGTGTTGCTGCTCGGCCGCGATATTCAGGCCCAGCAGGTGACTGTCCAGCTCCATCAATTTCCTCCTGTTGCGTGCACGAGACAGTTCGTGAGTTTTGGTCGAAGGAAACGGATCTTCCGATTCTTATGGTCCAAATTTCTTACAAATGTTCTTACAATTAGAAATTCTGTTTCTTTCAATCAAAACACGTTTGGATTGTGTTCACCGTCTAACAAGTTCGACCAAACTTTTCTTTCCACGTTCGCTCAAGATGAGCCTCAGAAGCTTTCGCGTTTCACCTTTCCTCTCTTCATCTTCCCTTCGCCCTTCGTCTACAATACGTACCTTAAACGCATCTGCTCCTTAAAGGCGGACACAATCTTCTCCCTCAGCGATCTGAAGTCGTTGTCCCGCGTGTCTGGCTCCTTCTCCTCCACCCTCTTTGGCCGGTCCTCCTTCATCTTGTTCCGCAGCCGGGAGATCTCGGTCTTCAGGTCGCTGATTATGTCGCGGTACTGCGCGACGTGCAGGTAACTCACGTCCAATACGTTCCGCTCGACCTTGTTGGAGATCTTGTTGGCACGGTCCGCGTAGATCAGGGTGTTCTTGCTCTCGTCCCGGTGCGTGCTCGCCGGCGACACGTGGGCGATCATGACGGTTCGGCAGTTGCCGCTCAGCGCGTCCTTCAGCAATCTGGTGAGCTTGGAGTCGCGATAATTCACGTATCGCGCGCCGCCGGACAGAGCGTTGATGCAGTTGCCCAGCGCCAAGAGAGACCTGTTGATGTGCGCACCTTCCTGCAGCCTCTTGCCTTTGTTCTGCAACATTTGTTTCTCTGTACGTCCAAGTGCCGCGTTATTCGCTTTAATTTTGACAATATTAGCATCAGCTTTTAACTGTCTTGCTTATACGAAAAATTTCCGGGAAACCTATAAATCTATAAATATCTAACATCTCTGGGACGTCTCCAGGATTTTCTTTAATTTTTACATATCTTTTCTGACGTCTGACGATTCATTTTGGGTTTTACACCAAAGAATTTTATTCTCGTTGATTGAATAAATAAATATTTGAATAAATGAGATTGATCGTTCGATCGGGCGTGTTCGGCCGACGAGGAGGAAGCGGGAGCTTCCGGTTTTAGTCGATTTTACCTTAGTCTGTTTCGCCCGCTCAGACCCGGCGAGGTCGATCATGAACAGCCGGCCTTGCTTCACCCGGTTCCGCAGACGCTGATCGCCGTCCTGAATCGGCCGCGAGGACTGTCGCACCGTGACGCTGAGGAGAGCGTGGCTTCGCGACGACGTCTTGTTCGCGGCGGTCGGCTCCATCGTCCTCGCTTTGTTGCCCCGATGCAACAGCTGCATCACCTGCGAACCACCATCGTGATCGTGTTTCCAAGATATTATTCTACTGAGAAAAAGATTTCTTCAAATTTAATCAATTTTATTGCATCCAAGCAAATTTCATCATCGGCATGCACCAAAGAATGTTTCGATTTAATAAGTACGATTGTTATACTTTTCAACGAATATGTATCTTTATCTTAAATAAATAAAAATTTTGAAACGAAAGATAATCTTCTTACAAAGAAATTATTTGTTTCATTTTACATATTTACTAGTAATCAAATAATATTTTATCCGTTTAAAAGATATCATCTCAAATAACAGCGTTCTTTCTGTTAAATAATAAGAGCTTTCTTGAATTAGATAACCAAATTTTTACTCAGACAAACAATATTTCGTATATGTTATTTCTATGAAACAAATTTCAGTCAAATAAATAGAAATACTAAATCTGAAGAAACCTTTCTCTTTGTTGTCAACTCGTGATACGAGTCAGTTTTGGAACAAACGTACCTCCTCGGTCGAGTTGGTGGAGACCTCCGTCAGTCCCGAGACCTGGACGTTGCGACCGCGAGTGTCGTCGCGCAGGTCCAGGTAGCCGGAGCTGGGGTTGAGGAGGTCGCGTATATTCTCGTTGTAAATCTCCATGTACGACATAGTCACCTGTGACAACACGGGAGTGTGTCTGATAAAAGACGCGCGCGTAGACGGCACGGTGTGTGTGTGTATATGTGTGCGCGCAAAAACGCGACTCGTTCTTAACAGAGTATATTAATAGACAGAGGGTGAGAAAGAGAGAAAGGGGGAGGGAGAGAGAAAGAGGCGATGATGTTTGCAGAGACATACTCTCGTCCGTGTGATTTATCAATGCATATGTATTTGCAGTTGCACCGTTATGACAGTTTAATATTTAATACCGATGGCGGGGCATAAACAGCTTCGTCGCAGCACGCGAGATTCGCGGCCGCCGCGCGATTAATGCAATTATTATACGTGTGCGCACATTTAAGCGACTGTTACAGCCGCGATTCCCGCCACCATCAGTAGGCGAAATTTATGTAATTTGCAACGTAAGGGCGTACGCGTCCCCATCGGCCGCTGTTAATGCAATTGCGGCCGGTTAATTAATCGTGAGACATACATATGCACATACATATGCGCGAGTACTTTTCGTGATAAAAAAAATTCCACTCCCTCCAGCAATTATTTAGAAGACTTATTAGTTATTCTTCTTCCAGGCGACTATAACGAATGGTCACCCCCTCGATCTCGAGAACGATCTCGAGAATGATTTCTAGCGGTAGATTTTCAGAATAATTTCGAGAATACTGAGTGGAGATCCTCAGATAAGGACTCAGGAATAGTTAAAAAATTCACCGTGCTTTTTAGATGAGGATTGACTTGAGAAGACTCAAGAGCTGAATAGAACGAAAGGAAAAAAATTCGACTCTCTCTCTCTCTCTCGCTTACCGTGAATTCCGTGTTGTCCGGCAGTTTTTGCGCGGCTAAGAAAATGTCGTTCAAGGCACGCACCATGATCCCAGGGTTCGACGATGTCCCTACCATCGTATGCGTTTTCCCTGCGCCCGTCGCACCGTAGGCGAACACAGTGGCGTTGTAACCGTTCAGGACGTCCTGCGCCAGGTTCTTTGTGGTGCCTTCGTAGACCTGCTCCTGAAGTGTCGATGAACGATCAGACTCTCGGTACACAGCCGAAATATCGCTCGTGATCGTCGTGTTTTTTCTCTTTATCATCGACTTAGAATGAATAGGATTCTCCTTAGCAACTTATTCAATTTAATTTTCAAGTTATTGAAATTAATAGTTATTAATATTTATTAATAATATCGCGTCCTTCATGGACTTGTTGCTGATGTTTCGTGAACATTTCGTCCTCATCCTCAAAATAATGTTCAAAGTGCGAAAGCCTAAAACATCCGATTTAGCAACTTGCCTGGGTGGAATCCTCGCCGAAGACTATGTCGTAGAGATATTGCCGTGGCACTGCGCGTTTCTGCTTGTCGCTGTCCTGGTCCTCCAACATCACCATCTGTCGATGATCAGTGTCGTTAGCAGGGTTATTCTAAAGAATTAATCTAATTCGGCGACCTCGAGTCGAGTTAGAGCGAACCCACCTTGTCGTTGACAGCGTGCAAGGACCTGGTGCCACTCTCATTGAGTGCCAACGGTCGGATACGCACAGCGACCTAAACAAAACAGAGGAATATAAAATGATGACTATCTCGGGTCTACGAACCGTTTCAGGTGACTTATCAATAAAGAACCCTCGCGTGCGTTCTTTTGTTATCTTTGTCCGCAGGCGGTTTACAGTTAACAAAACGCGTCTGTCGGGTGCGATGACCCATTCGCGATCGATTTGCTTTTTGTCGAGTTCCACGAATATATACGGCCATAGAGATCATCACCCACGGATCTCAGAAATTGACAAAGCGCGACGCTCGAAGCACTTCGTTCGGCACACTTTGCTGTCGTAAAAGAAGGCGGTGGAGAGAGGGTGGCAACGCTCTCGCGTGTCTCGTCTGGTGCCGTCGATGTAGTCCGGCTAATACCTGCAGGCTTGGGTACCCGGGTTTTTCAGAATTATCCTCGCACCTGAACCATATTCACGGATATTATCCCGACAAACACGTAGAAAAAAAATTAGTATCATTTCAAGACCTAAATTCTCATATAATTCTCTCATATTGACTCATATTTTCATATATTCTCTCTAATTCGTCGACTTGAAACATTTTTATTAAAAAAATGATAAATAGCCTCGACGGTTTACATTGGAATTTTCGTCTCTATTTGAGCTAGGAATATGTCACATTAACTAAATTCGCGAGAATTAGGACACTTTGTATAAGCAAAAATATATAATCTTACATGAAGATAAAACTTACTTATGTGAAGAAATTCTATATAGTAACACTGAATATGATTTATGTGAATAACGAGGCTCGATGGTCTTTAGGCTAAAAATATTAATTCATGACCGACGGAGAGTAGTTAATTCTAACGGCATATGGATTATAAGCAACTTAGAGATTACTCGGCTGCTTGCTCTTTATGTATTATTAATTTTATTGCTGGCGAGGTCTATAGTTAAGATCGAAACGAGTTCATGTACATGTACTTAACCTTGCGTTGTTTATAAAAAATTTATACAATCTTTACGTTGACATTGTATTACTCACGTCTGGAACCATATTTGATTCTTATTTGCCCTCTTTTCTGTTTGTTTGAAAATATCATATTTTCATTATGCAGGAATAATTCTTACGAATTGGAAAAAGATATTAGATAGAAAAAACGATATCTTCAAATTAAGAATCATGGAAGTTCGAAGATATCATTCTTCCTATCCAATATTTTTTCCTCTCAATTTATGGAAATTATTCTTGAATAATAAAAATATAATATTTTTAGTGGAACTATATATAGATTTGTCATACAGGACTGCATATACTCGCTTATACGTGTAAGAATATGAGTCCTGAATTGATATATTAAATTTTTCCCGTGCGAAAAATAACAAGTAAAAACAGTCACGAGTCTGCGATACATTCGTTTATTTTTCGTTAACGTTAAAACGATCAATCATTTGTAACTTTGTACTTAGTTATCCGAGTGGCCCCGAAAGACTCGGGTACCCAGGTGGTCGAAATCGACAGCTCCGTCGCATTGTCCACCGTTGGTGAAAAATTTCCGAGCTTCGAAATCAAAGGAGTGGACACGCTTTCTCACTAGGCTTATCGATTTGCTTTGTGCGTTGCAGAGCTGGTCCGGCTGGAACTTCGTGAAACTCGGTTTCTCTTAATGAGGTACATAAGCGACTTTCAACTCGGTGTTACTTATTCAAGTTCCACGTTCTTTTCTTTTTTCCCCTTTCTTGTTTGCTAGTTAAACTTTCTCTCCACTTGTCTGAAATGTCACAAGTATATACCATAAGCTTCTCCTCCAGTACTCGACCTCCGCGATTCTTGAAGTCACTCTGACCGGTGGTGCTGCTGCCGCTGCTGCTGCTGCCGCCGCTGCTGTATTGGGTCATCTCTGCGTTGCGGTAATTTTACGCGTAATTTTTCGCGACGAGATGCAATTGAGATCAATTGCTGCGACCCGTTGAACGACTGAATGTTGTCAGCAATCGGCTCAAATCGCCGCGTTTACGTAAACTTCACACGTGCACCCCACGATCCATCTCGTCCACACGCTCACCCACGTCGCTGCTCATCGCCGTGTTAATCGTCGCGCAAACGTGCGATCCGAGAATGGTTATTTCGCCACGAGAAAAGAAACGCTCTTGTGAGCTCGAACGAACCAGGATTATAGATTCGCTGGGACCATTATTATTGTCGATAATAATTGTCAGGGGCAAATGCTCTCCTCGAAGATCACTAAGAAAAGAAGCTCAACTCAGCGAGTTGCTAAAAGCTTAACGTTGAAACGAAGGAACGGAGACGGCGAGAAGAAAAATCCACGAGAAGGGGAAAAGGATTGCAAAAAGATTTCGACGCCGACGCAACCGTGAGGGGAGGCGAATTTGAGTTGCGGAAAAATTCACGCAAACACGCGCGCGTATCGCAGGCACGAGCGGATGTGCGTCACAGTTGGTGCGTCCGGTTAAGCGCGGTCGGCGGTGTGTGTTATCACGACACAGTCAGGCGACCGACTGAAGCGCACCTGTCCACCTGCAGGTAAGGCGCCCACGAACTTACAGTATAGAAGGGGCTGGCCAGGCGAGGGTGTACATACTTTCGCATGCCACGACATTCGAGATCCGGAGGATTTGCATTAACAATGATAGCGGCGAATGTATAAACGGACGCGAGGTTATTTCTACGCACGTCGTGCAACGGATTACGGGAAAAACGCGCCGGGAAAATGATCCTCCCGCTCTTATTGCGCAATGTTCGCAATCGGCGAAACGATGGAAATCATACGTGCGTACTCTCTCTCTCTCTCTCTCTCTCTCTCTTTCTCCCTCTTTCCGGAACGAAATCCTTATCTAGAAATCTTATCTATCGGAAGAGAGGCAGGAGGAGGAGAGGTGCGTCGGTCAGCGGAACGATTGGTTGATCGAGCGACGATAAACGGGGGGNNNNGGGGGGGGGGGGGGGATAACGGAAGTGACATTGACACGATGAGAAAATGAAAAAAAGCTCGCGGTACGTGTGTATCGCGTGTGTGAAGAGTTGAATGGATAAAAGATCGGCGCTCGGGGGAGGGGAATGCTCGGTGGAATTATTTACGAAGAGGGTGAGAAAGAAAGAGAGAGAGTAATGGGGAAAAAACACCGCAATGCGCGCCAGACATAAACGTCCCGTCGCGTGGAAGTCGGCGGTAGCGTGCACGACACAAAAGCTTAAAGGTAACTTAAGTAAGTGGAGGTTAAAGCCGCTCTCGCGGCGGCCGTATCGCTCAACAAGTTGCGCTTTCTGATGAGGCAGCGATTAATAACGCTGAGAGAATGTCAAGGATGAGCGTGGAAAGTAACGTCTGTCAGGTGCGCGGGGCAATTTCGTCGAACGGAATCGATCGAACGTGTATTCGCGCGCGACGTCGACGGTTTAACGCGATGCCGATTAATACCCTCGAATGCGCTCTGCGATCCGCCGATCGCGTTATTAATTATTATCAATGAGACGTCACGCGATGAGGCTCCGCGAGAAAGTTTCCCACGGCGACTGTATCCACAACGGCGCCGACTTCCCAAAGACTTCTCTCAGCAAACGCTGGAAAGAACGTCGTACATTTCCCGGACGGTCTTTCGGGAATCCTTCTCGCCCGGTTTGCCTGACGAAAATTCGAGAATCAGCGACGATGGTCGAGCGAGAACTCAACGTGATAATCAGAGAGTTCGGGAAAGCTCGAAATAGGGGGAGATTATTTTGGGATCGCCGCGAGGACAGGATGGAACCGGACTTTTCGAGCACACCGACATCGCCTCGTTTGTTCTTTTATTTATCGCGCCAAACGGCAGTTGCGAAAATGCCACCTGCGGAAAAGAACTTCTTAAGAGCGCGATTACTCGTTAAACGGACAACAACGGACGGAGCCGTGCTCGCTTATCCTGCAAGCGGTTATCCGTCCCACTATCATTTTCTACCGGCGAAAGTAATCAATGCTGGACACAGTTAAGCACGAGGTCAGCACCGCTAGACCGGTCAGATATCGCCGATCGATATTTGGAACGGGGAACATTAAACGAGCATTATGCGGTGGAAAAAAGGATTGTTACTTCTGACCTCCAAATACCAGCGCGCTATGGATTATTGATTGCACCGGCAGAATCCCCGAGCGGAAATAATAATGAGCGTGTGTCGCTGATAAAGACTCGCGAGCGTTGCGCGGTGGATGGTGTACGCGTATGTGTGTGTGTGTATGTGTGTATGACGCTGCATTAAATTATATGACAGAGCTCAGTTTATTGACGTAACGCGAATTAATATAACAGCGAGCCTCGTCCTCGATAAACATTCGATGTATCGACATTGATGTTCGACGGCGGGAGGGGGGGGGGGGGTTCGAGCGTGTCGCGAAATCGGAAAGAGCGATCCGGTGAGTGTAAAGACGCCTGCTATTTCGGATTCGCGCGTAAGACTCGCCGATTAATTAACATCAATAATGCAGCACGGGTGTGTTCAAGCCGCGGGTGGGAAGAAGGGGCGGAATTCCATTGTGAGAAAATTGCGTGACACACGTGAGTCGCCCGCCTCCCCAGTCCTTCGTGCGGCCGAAAATGACCTTCAGCCGTCGGCCCGTCCTCCACGTAGTTTCTCGAATATCCGTTCTCTCGTAAAGTCGCGCGCGCTCCGCCGATCGTATCTCTTTAAGATTGATCCTGCCCCGATATCTCATGCGCCCGTCACGCATGCGGCTGTGTAGGGGACACGTTATCGAGGGCGGCGGGAAAACGCAGTCGTCATCGTCGTCGTCGAATACTTGGACTACGAGTTACTCCCGTTACTTGGAATTCGTGGGTCGATGCGATTGAAGTCCGATTAAAGAAGGTGACGTCATCAGCCCGTCGTCGGCGCGAGGCGCGTATCTGCGTCGACGTCGGTAAACGTAACACCGACGATCTCCCCCGACGAAGGATTCTGTATAAATTATGACACCGATGAATAATATGGCTACGTCGCGTGCAACTCCGCGCTATCCTACTTTGTACGATCATCTCATTATCCGCCAGCGCTTCGTCCTCCCCCTACACAGCGCGCGTGCTCTCGACGTAGAGGTTTCGGCGCGACGCGCACACGCGTTTTTATATCCATATAAATGACCAATAGAGAACGTTAAATATGATGAACGATACGGGGAACACTATTCTACTGCGCCTGTCGATCCACTGAGCGATCTCCTGCGGCGTCATCGTCGTGAAGTTGTGCAGCTTCGCGAGGGTCGGCCTGCGCGGGAAGGGCTTGGACGGTGGGGTGCTGTCGATGGTCGTGATGCTGCCGACCGAACAGTCCGGATCCTTGTCCTCCTCTATTCTCACCGACGGGATGTTGATGGTGCTCGGGAAGCTCTGAAAAACGTAGCGAGGAAAATAACGTCGAGCGATTCCGTAGCGATTGATCGCCGAACGATCAACGAGAAACTGATCGGCTCTCCCCTCCGGAGAGAGAATCACCTCGCGTAGTTCACGGTATCGTAGGTTCGCGTAATAGCATAGCCGAATTATTCGGGACGACTCACGTGCACGGTAAGATAATTCTGACTCGTGAAGTCCTGGTCGCTGCCGTTCGCGTTGTCCAACGACGACCACGACCGCGACCGTTCCAGTCCGCTCGTGTTTTTCTGGAACTGTTTCCTCGCCAGACGCGGCGTCAGAGTCGACTTGAGGATGTACTTGCTGTTCACCTTCTTCAGAGGCACGTTCTTTCTGCATTCACGAATACGCCGCAGCGTTATCTTTGAGGACGTATTGTTAACGCCGTATTTTCGGCGATCTCGCCGAGAGGGTCACTCATAAATTTTATACACATCAAGCGAAATTACGCCTCCACACATTTATTTTTATTTCACTACTTAAATATTGGGTGCTTGCAAAAGTTCGTAAGGTCACAGATGGTTTTAATATCATACGAACTTTTGCAAGCACCTAATAATAAAAGTTATTCGAAACGAAGTTATATATATCAGCTCTCAAATGGTCAGTTATTTTTCGAATTACATACTTCCTCCTGTATATGGTGTTGACGAAGGCGAACTCGACCATCGCCGCGAATAAAAATATCGTGCAGCCCAAGAACCAAATCTCGCTGGCCTTTATGTAGGAGACCTTCGGCAGGGAATTCTCCACTTTCGACGCGAGCGTCATGAACGTCAGGATGGTGTTCGTTCCTGAAAGTGAAATCTCGTTCATGTTTTCAACACATGCGGCAACGACGCGAAATATGCGTGCGCGGATGTATTACCCAAAACTATTCGTGGCGCGCTCGCGTCCACATGCAACCAAAAGGACACCCAAGAGAGCACCACGATTAATATGGACGGAACGTAATAATCCATCATGAAGAATCCCATTTCACGGGCCAGTTTAAACGTAATATTTATCGAGCTGAAATTGCCGGCTGCAATCGTCATCATGGTTAATGAGAGATATTATGTCGCGCGTGTCATCCTCCTTTCTTCATTCTTTTAATTTTTTTTTTTTCCAGTAAAATCAGTCATCGTCATTCTCATCGGGATTATTCTTATCGATCGAGCTTTACCGAAATGTCCGTAATGGAACTGCGACGAGGTGTAGAATATCCCGGAGCTGTTGACCCACGCGTCCACGAGCTTGTACTCCGTCAGGTACAGGTCGTCCGCGATAACGATCGCCTCCTCGTCCCAGTCCAGCACCATCTCGTTCACGTTGTGGGTCCCTGTGGGGAAGAAATGCATCCCTCGTTCAATCCATGCGACACAGCGAACGTAACGTAATGTACAGCCTACTGACAGCTCTCGAAGACCAGCGGGCACTCCTGCACGTCGAACGGAAACTTCTCCAGTCGAAGGCCGCAGTTCAGGGTGGCCTCCAGCCTGAAATTCAAACGAACGCTCACGAACCGCACACACGTCGTGCGATCGATGATCCGCCGCGTTGTTGGCGTGGCTCTTTCGCGAGATTCGCATTAAAATGAGACGGGCAAATATGAGCAGGAAAAGCGGGAATAAGAAACAATCGATTTCTATTGCGCTTCGGCAGGTCTTGACTTCCGTCAAGATCAAGAACAGCGGTCAATGGGAAGAAGGTCGCAACACCTCGATCGATTTTAAAACGTATCTGTTGCTGCAAAAATACGCCACGTTTTTCCGATCGAAATGCACAATCATTCCGAGAAAAATATAGTGACAACTACACGAGTTTCGTGTGCAGAATTAATTAATACGTACAGTTCGATAATTTTATAGCCGTTTTATAGTTATTGCAACTAAATCTAAATCGGAATAGTTACGATAACCGTGGTTGTGCTGTACACCGTCAACTGAATACCTTGTGTTCAACATGACCATGCCGTGAGGATCGATGGAGATGAGCAGGTCTTTCACACCGTTCCCCATCACGGCCGAGGTGCGCTCGTTCGCGACATACACAGTCGGGGTCCAGATCAGGTCGTGGGCTGACTGTCCGCCGTATATCTGAGTCAAATAAGGCGCTATGTCCGAGAATTTCAGCCGTTTGTCCAGATATCGGAACTGCAGCATCAGGTGCACGTCGAATTGCTGCAACGCGATTGCACACTCTCTTTATTACCGAGCCCGACGATACTTACTAATCATTTATCTGCGAGTCTACAGGTGCACGGAGAAAAACATTCCTTTGGATTCAATGAAACTTCTTTACTTGAAACAAATTTGTCTTTTAAAGTAGAACAGACGAACGAATGGTTGATTCGACAAACAGGATCGTTTAGTTTCTCAAGCGATAAATATCTTCGCGTCAAGTGACACATTTCTCTTGTATTTTCATTCAAATATGTTACAATGGTTGTCACAAGTAGTGTGTTATTTGAAAGAAGTGACATTATGTTAGAAAAATACTAGCTATAAACGTCTTTGCTTCAGTGGGACAATATTTAATGTGTAACGAAATGAATTGTTTTCTTACCGAAAACCAAATATTTCTTCCTGTAAATAATATCACTATTTCTCTATCAAAAAATACGGCTTACTCTGATGAAACATTTTCATTCGAGCAATATTATTTCAGATTAAATCACATCGTTTTACATTGAACCGGCCCATATATTCAATTCGAAGAAACTCTTCTCCGTGTTCAAGTAAGAGTGGGGGAAGGGGTACCAGAGTTTTCGCCATGTTGGACTTGATCGTGTAAATGAACGCTCTGGTGTAGATTTTGATCGGGTCGGTGGTGTTCGTCACCCCTGGCGGTCTGACCATCTTGTCGTAACGGCACTCGTTCGCCAATTCCTGCAGGAGTTCCGTCTGTGTCATGGAGCTACTGAACGACGGACAATCTCCCGATCTGCAACAAAACATAGGGCGTGCCTTCTACGCGATATTTCTCTGGGCGCGGGCTCGATCTCGAGATTACCGCGCAAGTCGCGCACTTCCTGCCGACCCCACGAAGTCCCCCTTCCCCGGGAGTGGTGGGAAAGGTAGGAAAGTGGCGGTAGGAAGTGCGCGAGTTTTGTGAAGAATTCAAACACAAGTTTGGCGTACATACGTAATCGAGAAACTGTAACGACAGACTTCGCGAGCGAGCGGCCGCGATAATATCTGGCTTTCAACAAAGGGGCCATCCGCGAATTAATATTCCACACCTCGTCTCTCTCTCGTTACACGTGTGTTTTCCGATGTATGTTCATTAGCTCATTGTTTTAATGTAAATGACAAGTTGACGGCGCTCGACGTTATAAATAAACGTTTTGCGAAAAACTAATTGCACCGACCGAACGTAACCGGCGTAAACATGCGATCTCGCGAGGCGAGAATTTGTAATTTCGTCGCGACTCGCTCCAATTAGAACGAGGTAGAGAAATCAGCTCTCGAGAGCTGCGGGGTGGAGCGGGGGAGGGGAAGTGGGAGGAGAGAGAGAGAGAGAGAGAGAGAGAAGGAGAAAGAATCGTGCGTCTAATTCTGGCGAGACGGTTATGTAAAAATTTGTTTTCGCGTCGCTCGCCTGACTGATTATATTTTTGCAAGGGAGCATTTACGCGCACGTGCTTCTCTCTCTCTCTCTCTTTCTCTCTCGTCGTAAACGCCACCACAAAAGAACGCCGACTGTATTAAGTTCTTATCTCGCTGTGTGCTACTTGAATTTACAACGCCGAATAATTCTCGCCAAATATCCTGTTTATGTAAGATACGCGTATTTATACATCTCCGTCCGCGGAATTGTGTGTGCTCGTCGAGATTAGGATTAAACTCCTGAGCGTGACGTTATTAACCGTGTCATGTGACACAAACCGCGTCGTGCAATAAACATTTGCACCGGACGTGCGCGATAGTTTATGTGTCGGGACGGGATTTTGCGAGGGGTTTTTCCGCCACGGAGAAATTCCGTCGGTTCGACCGAGTTCTCCGTTGCCTGAGGACCGGACGAAAATTCGGTTGCAGGTTCTTCCTGTGGAAAATCTCTCCACTCAGTCACTCGCTCTCGGTTGTCTCGACAGAGTTTCAACACAGCTGGAATATTCACACGAATCATTGGAAATTAGAATAAGCAAACAAGAGTTAAAGCTTTTTGTGATAAAAACATGTATAATTAAAAATATATATTCGCATATAACACCGCCGTGCTTGGCTCTTACTTGTCTAATTTCTATTTTCCAATCATTCGTTATACATACTTACTATATATTATTTTTATCGTTAAAAATATGTATTCGTACATAACGACCGTATTTGATTCTTACTTGCCTTTTAATTCCTAATTGATTGTACATCATGAGAGCGTGATACAGCATAATCGATTCACGCGAATGTTTTCAGTCGTGATAACAAAGATATCTCTCTCTCTCTCTCTCTCTCTCTTTCGTCATTGACTTTTTCATTTCTCGCCACCGAGTTTTCCATCTGCTTCCTATTCGCTCGCGGGGACTGAGATTTTTCTCCCCGCACAGCTACTCCGGAGATACCGAGAGATACTCCTGCTCGTCGATTCTTCTCATCGAGGGTGCCGTTGCATAAACGTAACTAATTCTCGCGTGTTGCGCGAACTATTTTTCCTGGATTTCCGCTCGATTAGCCTCGTTTACACTACCAATTACAATTTTGTGACTTCTTAGTTAAGAACACGACAGCAAAACGTCACTGAGCAAACGAGCGCGATAATGATAAGACGCAATGAGAGAGAGAGAGAGAGAGAGAGAGGAGAGAGATGATCGACGAGGCAAAAATTAAAATGTGTACGCTGTTGTGCGTTATTTGGACAGGTGTATCCGCGGATTCGGCGCATTCGTCGCGCCGTCGAAAACTCGCGGCGGGCTCTCGCGCGTGCACACGACTATAAACGATAGTAGTTTAACTAGCGAGGCACAATCGTTAAACGGCTCTTGTCGAACGGTTGTCACTCTCGCCCGAAGTTACGGCGCTGTTTCGCGCAAGAAGAAGAGAGAGAGAGAGACGAGCCATTTTTGCGTTACGCGTTACGTACGACGCGCGAAACAGAAAAAAGAAGAAGAAGCGCGATCCGAGATAATTTACGGCGTTTCTCCAATTCATTAATACCGTAATGCTCATATTTACGAGGACCCCGAAGGTCAAATGTTACGCGCTAATAAGTTCGCGAAAGCAGCCATAAAATTTTACCAAGGCTGGAAATAATAATTAAGTCAATTTTACCGTACTCACATACACATACAGACACCTTGACACACGATTCCTCAATTTACTCAAGCGCGTGCGGCCGCGCGTTCGCCGGTCTCTCCTTCCTTTTACGTAAAAGATATTATTCGCAGGAGACGAGGATAAAGATTGAATGACATTAACATGTCTTTTTATTGTTTCTTTCTTTCCTGTGTCCGTCCCGTGATCCCGTTACTTCGCGGTCTGCGAGACCCTTCGAGCGAACAACGACGGAAAGCGAGTCGACGGCGTGCGCCGCGGCGCAAGCGGACTTGTGGTTTCGCGAAATTTATGAGAAGCGTGTGTTTCTCCCTTCTTTCTTTTTTTTTCTTCTTCATGAACATCGCGCCAACACACAGCGTGATGTCACCGGGAAAGATTATTCCATGCGAACGGTAAATAATCGTCGGTGAGATAAAATCCTGCGGGCAAAAGTGCGAAACGCTCGGAATATTTATGAAGATCCTGTCACGCTGCGGCGTCGAACGCGCGGTCGACAGGTGTATCGTTTGAATTAATCAGTAGGGAAAAAAATCGCAAGCGCATCTCGTCGTTTTCACGCTCTCGAGTTAGTCGAGATCGCGAGATAGATGTGTATCTTTTCAACAATGTACGTTACTTTTATCGCTCTCGTCCAATCTCGGAAAATCGGCCCACATCGAGTCGCACGCTCGTTCGTTCCCTCCGGTTACCGGCGTGACACGTTCCTCCTCGCTTTTTTATTTCTCTTTTTTGTAACATAGAAAGAAGGGACCGACTTACAGCTTGATCGCGGACAACGGTGACCATGACAGGTGAAGAACAAAGAGCGCCAAAAGTAAGACACCTCTCCCGAGAGTCATTCTAAGCTCTCTTTCCTTCGTCACTTAGCTGTACCACTAATAGGTTCCGACTGATCCTTCCTTGAGGCCGAGCGAGCAAATTTGCCGGAAACCAGACGCCGACCAAACCTTGCGCTCCCACTCGTGCTTTGCTCCTCCAGCTTTGCCCGAACGCACACACCTACACACCCCGTGCAGGTGTGTGTCATCAAGCTGGTAACGCACACACTCGGTATATGCTTAAGGCTTAACAACGTTGTAGACGTTGTATCGCGCCTCGTAGTGAAATTTGCAGCAGCAGCACGCCGACATACAGTGGTTCCGATCGTTCCCGACTTCGCGTATCAGATATCATTACAAACGGACTCGTTTCCCGGAATGCATCATGCGTAATTGTTTGCTCGTCGTTGTGACAATGCCTACGTACCCTGCATAATGATCCGTGATTCACACGCACACGTTTCGGTGTAATAAGAAATTTCTTTTATCTCTGTGAACTTGTAAGCTTTATCGTGACACGCGATTGTACGCTCACGTGCACTCTTGTTCTCTCCGCCTTTGACTCGCGCTCTCTCCTCGCATTTTCCATTTCGCATTATCGAATTATCGTTTCATCTGTTGCACAATCGAGATTCAATCGAGTTTCTAGCACGGAGGGGCATAAAATTAAGACATATCGCGCGAAATTGCGGGATTCGGACCCGACGATCTAGTAAGATCAATCGACGTACCTACGATGAATAATGAGCAAACATACGAAAGCGGAAATTTGTACTGTTTATTTATAAAAATATACGTATCAATTCACACGATGTCGGGCTTCATACGATTGGTGGTGTATGTTAATAAGTGGAGGTCTTGTAAAAGTTTTGTCAACCTTTTAAAGTGCCTGTCAGTGTAAGGTATCGCGGCCTCTAGAGCTGAAGACAAACCCGACGGGTGCAGCTTTCCAGCGCCTATCTCCGTCATTAAGCCACTTATAATCACCTAAAAATGATAATCAGATTAAAGACTGAAGATAAGGATGCTGCCGGATATATTTTTGTGTCGAAGATTTTTCTAAATCAATCAGAGACAGAGAAAGAATGAAAGGGAGAGGGAGAGAATAACTTTGATTCTTATTAAATGTAGTGTGATACCTGCGCGGCATGTGAATTTCGACTGTTTGTATTCCACGTAACTGCGTATCTGAGTAACAATGCCTTGAAATCAGCGTCTAATGCGTTGATCGTATTCAGGAGATGGTCATTTCCTTCCTTTAATAAAGCTGTTACATATAAAAGTATACGTAAAAATCAACGTCATACCGGGTATACGGACATATCATTGGTCCGGGATTGAGTAAGTTAATTTTCATTTTTAACTGAGTTAAAAGTTAATATTAAAGTTAACTCATTTAAAATTAACCAAGTTAAAAATTATTAACTTGTTCACTTTTCAACTTAACTAAATAATTAATACCCGACTCTGAAAGTCAATGTGTGATCACAAGCAACTATGCGGTCATACCTTCTGCAACCTTGAAAACTCGATACGGCTGTTCCAATTGTAGCGCCAATTCCAACGCGGAATCGAGGTGTCCGCTGTCCAGCAAATTCCTCAACAACTGTTCCTTGAACGCGAGCTGCTCCTGCTTCTTCACGGCTTGCGTTCTCTTCTCTTCGGTCACGTCTCTCCAAATCACCAGCAACGAGTCGTTGCCTCCGCTTATAATGTGTTTCTGATCCTTAGTAACTGTACGGGCATACCGATACATATACTGTATGCATGTTATCATCGGATATATAAGCTATCATAGGCACGCGTAAGAAAAATAAGCTCACCCGCGAGGGTCCAAATGCGACTCTCGTGTTGATCAAAAGTGGACACGCATTCGGACGTTTTGATATTCCATAGTTTCAGAAGGCCGTCGCCACCCGCCGTGATCAGCTGCATGCCGCGCGACAAGAACTCCCCTCTGAGCACCGAGGATTCGTGTCCCTCCAATGTCTACGCGTCAACAACAACGGCAAAGTTATTTTAGAGTTATTTTAACGAGCGTACAGGAAACGACTCGTATCTCGGGAAATACCTTCAGACAATTGAGTTCGCTCAAGGACCACAGTTTCATCGTGCAATCGGCGGACGTTGTCAAGAGCACTTGGTCAACCGGGGAAAATCGGACGCACCACACACCTCTCCGATGACCGTGAAACACTCCGAGCAACTGCAAGTCCTCGGCAGACCACAGCTGTGGACACAGTTATTCGTACGGGATTCTTGTAGGACGCCGTGATCTTAGAAATTACCCGCATGCATGAGAAAATTAGTCGATCGTTACCTTAGCGGTCTTGTCCTGCGACGCTGTAGCGATCAGTCTGTCGTTCGGCGAGACAGTTACGCAGTTGATGTCCCTCGGATGCGCCAACACCGTGTGACTTACATTCAACGGCAACTCTTGGCCTGTAACTATGAAGAAAAAAAACAACGCGTCGATGCTATTACCATCATTTTGTATTCTGTTCTGAGAAATTGCGAGATCCCGGCTCACCGTGTGATTCAAGTTCGTCGGACAGTTCCCACAATTTCAGGCAGGAATCCTGACTGATGGAGACGAAGAACTTGGTCGACATCTGAGATATGGCGATGGAGCCGACCGATGCTGTGTGTCTAACAGCGCGTCCGATGCAAGACACATTTGTCATTTTGTCATCCAGCAGCCATACGCGAACACTGTTATCCTGTAAATAATATGTACGTATATATAACACACACACACACACGCACACACATACAAGTTTTATCGGTGTTATTAATATAGACATATACCTTGGCCGAAGAGATGAGCAGATTCGCATTTGCCTGAGTCGTAGCGAGGGCCAAGACGATGTCGGTATGGCCGCACAACAGTCGACAATTCATGGACGCGATATCGTAGAGCTTGATGTCGCAACTGTTGGTTGCCAGTGCTACGTGGGTGTCATTCGCCCCGAGATACACAACGTCCAGTATCTCATCCATATAGCCCACCAACTACAACGATTCGGGTGAAAATCAGCATTATACGAGATTATTCTATAGAATCAGGTGAGTATAAACCAACCTGCTTCTTGCATTCGAACGACTTTAACGAGTGGATAATTATATTATGATCGGCAGATACTACTGCAAAATCATTGCAGTGTTCATTGTAGAGTAAATGTGTAATCGATAAGCCTCCTCCCTCTTTAGCCACCGGTACCAAGGAATTTTTCTGCTCGTAAACCTCTTTACCCGTCTTCATCTCCCAGATTTTTACAACACCTGGGAAGTTTTCATATTAAATTATGTATCTCTCTGTTACCTGTATATCGATACAATCGAAGAGTAAATCGCTAACTTTAAATAGTCGGCATACCTTTTTCACCAGCTGAGGCAACATATATGTCATCGGTGTTGTGTGATTGAAGAGATACTGGTAGAGGAGTCTTAGCATTTATTATAAACGATCCTTCTATTCCTTCATATACTGGTACGACACGTACCGATGTTCCCGACGATATGTCCCACAAAATAAGCACTCTATCTCTTCCTGAGCTACAAGTATATATATTTGCTATTTTCATAAATTACTTTATATGATGCAAAATTTCTCGAAGCTTTCTTATTACCTCACTAAATAATTTCCATCTTCGTGAAAGTTGAGAGATGTAACTTTACTAAAGTGACCGGAAAATGTAACTTTTTCTTTTCCACTAGTGATATCCCAAGCATGAATTTTTGTATCATCACCAGCACCAAAAAGCAGTTTTCTCTTGGCATCTGGGTGAAATTTCAGTATACTAAATAAGAACAAAGTTGTATTAATCCTCGTAAACATTATGAAATTTGTAGTATATCTCATGTTATATACACACCTGATTACTCCTTGAATTCCTTTGAGATTATGTGTGCAGGCATGGTTCAGCAAATCCCACAATCTAATGGTACCATCAATGCCTCCAGATGCCATAGCAAAATTCATAAGGGCTAATTGTACTACAGGTCCTTTATGGATAGATTTCCATAATTTTAGTAGTTTATTATCTGTAACAGTGATATAAATAAAATTTAAGTAACGATTAATCAAAAACATTAAGAAGAAAAGTAGAGTTGAATAAAAATTATTACTTGTCCAATCCCACATTTTGAACAATCCACTTTTATGATGAGTGATTATATTTATATCACGTTCATCAAGAATAAAGGTTTGTATTGTGTCTTCTTCTTGATTGGCTTTTGCTTGACCTAATGACAATATCACAGAACCCTGATCAAGGGACAATACGGATACAGTGCCACCATTTTCGCACAATAAATTCTTTCCATCTGATGTCCACTATAACGCAAAAATAATGTTGTACATGCAACAAATAATGCCAATATATAAACAAACACTTACTTGTACATTCCCACCAGTATAGAACGCTCTATGTTTGCTTTCTGCTTCGAATCTGTATGTATAACGCGTAACAATTGTTAATATAAAATATTAAAATAATGAAGATATTTTTGCGACATAGTAAAATATAAATATAAAACAATACTTACACTTCCTTGAGATAAGCTTTGTTCATTTTTTTTAATTAACTAATATACAAAAGGGAAACAAAATTATTATCTCGACTATGTCGGCCTATTCGTTTTTCCGCTAAATAGGTTATAACTCTCGATAACAATGCCTTCTGCTGAGCACATGTTCCTCTCCGTCTAATAACATCTGACAAGTGACCAGACACCACACATGTTCGAATTTCTCTCATCTGCACTAGTTACACCTTTCTCATCTGCACTAATGCACTGAAACGGAGGTAAAGCCAACAGCACGCAGCGCGTGCTGTGGTGCAATCTAGTAATATACTAGGAATGCTACATTCTGATTGATGCATTTATAAAGTCGAATATAAAAAGAACAATGATTGAGATTGGTCAATTTCTTAAAGTTTAAAGCACCTATTATAGACCGGGGCTAATAATTCACCAAATGTAGCCCGACATAGAAATACGTCATTAGTTAAATTTGCTGTCGAGCAAAAAATATGAAAATAAAGCTTGACTTGTCGTTGAGCAGTGGGAAGCAAAACAATTTGGACGTAGCTAAGTTCAAAGTGGAACCGATGGAAAGAACGAATTAATAAAAAATAACTTCTCTCATTGGATCACGGTCTGCGCTCTGAACTTAGCTGCAACCAAGTCGTTTTGCAGCCCCCTTTACAGTCGTCATAATACATATTACAGCACTCTTTTCCCAACGAGTTTCGCATCGCATTTCGTATCCAATACGAAAACATATTTCTTGAGAATTACTAAAAAGCAAACTCTCCTATTGGACACCGAGAGCGTTGCGGAACTTAACAAGAGAAAAAAAGAATCGCAACTTTTATTACGCCCGACTGTACTGCGCGCTCGATTCTCTCGATTAACGTCAGTGGCGACTCGCAGCGGAGAATCGCAGTACCTTTCCCGCGTACCCGCATACAGCCGACACCCAATAAGAGAACTCCTCCGCTAGGGACAAAGGTGCTGCCGTGCTCGGATCGCCAATTTTGCCATTGGCTGTCGGGAGCTTGCGCGTCGGAGTCGTACTTGCGGATTATTCGGTACATGTCGCTCGAGCCGCCGCCACACTTGTCGCCATTTTGTTTATTTTCGCGTGAAACCGTGAGATCCGCGAGCGATCGCGACGTACGGGATCGGCCGTTCGCGCGTACTCGTTCGTGGCGTTCGAGCAAGAATCCAGTCGCGGCTGGACACAGTGAGACAGGGAGACGACAAGCGTGCTGAGGGGGAGTAGCAACTGCGAGAGCTGCGGGAGAGCCAACACAGTGCCCCACACAGGTAGGCTCTTGTTTGCATACGGTAGCGCGCAGCCGGAAGTTGCGGATAAGTCGATCGAGAGTCGGAGTGAGCGTTCGAGATCCGGCGGCGGGCAGTCACGGAGAGGGAGTCGAGCGGACGGGCTAGCGAGTAAATCGAGTAGTCGCGAAGTGAGTAACGTTATTGTGTGTGTGTGTGTGCGTGTGTATATTCGCCGCGCGCGCGATCATAATTCGCGCTTGTCGTCCTCGCAGTCGCAGTTGACTGTTAATTAATCTCGTCGTCGTCGTCGTCGAGGTGAACGTCGCGTCGCCGCTGTGCGCCGAATAAGCGCGCAGCGAGTACCGTTTTTCCGCGGATCTGCCGCGGCGCTGCGGAAGGGACAGGAGGAGGAGGAGAAGGTCGGTGCGCGAGACGCCGGAACGAGAAGCGAGACGATAGCCGCTACCAACGCCACCACCACCACCGTCAGCAGCACCACCACCACTACCACCTTCATCATTTTCATCATCACAGACGTCGTCGTCGCCGTCGTCGTCGTCGCTACCGCCACCGTCGCGAAGGTAGCCGCGATCTCGCCGTGGCGACATCCGGAAGAGAAACGTAGGTGTACGTGCGAGTACGCCGCTACTCGACGAATCTAGCAGCGAGAGAGGTAACACGAGGGTGGAATATATGCTGTGGGCGTCCCCCGTGCGAGTGGGGGCACTTGATGGCCGCAGAAATTGGGCGAACTGCGAGCAAACATCAATCGTCGGAGTGCGGTAAAGCGACGTCGCTGTCGAGTCTCGGTGGCGACGTGGGCTTGGAGAACCGGGTGGTCGTGGCAACCGAATTGGAGGAGCAGTCGCGGCAGCAACAGTCGCAGTATCAGCAACGGCAGTCGCCACCGCCGCCACCGTCGCCGCAACAGCAGCAGCAGCAACATCCGCACGAGCGAACGTCGTCGACCACGGTACAGCTGAGGAAGACGCTCGTTAAAACAACAACAACGACGTCAACGACTCCCCCCTGCCGCAATCGCAAGCCGTTCGCGACCGCGCCGACGTCGGGCATCAACCAGCAAACTCCTACCGCAGACGTAACCTCGACGGCGGAGGCCGTCATCGAGGTACCCGGCGCCATCAAGACGACCATCAACATCGGTTTCGCGATGAATCACGTCAACGACCAGGAGAACCTGAAGCAGCTGAGCCTCGCGCCTGTTCAGGTTAACGAGGTCGAGGAGATGGACACTCAAGAGGGTGAGTGCGCCTTCTAGATCTCTCTCTCTCTTTCTCTCTCTCTCTCTCTCTCTCTCTTTCTTTCTGTCTGTCTGTCTCTATTCCCTCCCTCTCGACTCCTCCCCCTTTCTCTCTCTCTCTCTCTCTCTCTCTCTCTGTCTCTATCTTTCCTCTCGTATTACGAACATAAACGCAAACTCTCAGCAAGGGAGAAAGAGGTCCTTTCTCTCTGTCACGCGCCTCTCGCTACTTTTCTCCGGATTTTTTTTTTGTTTTTCCGTCCGACGCGGTAAGCACGCGAACGGAATGATCTTTATATTTAGAAGGGAACTCCGCGGTGCAGCTTTGTATATAGTGTGCCCGCCGCAAAAAGAAATTCTAATGTCGCTCGAGCTGATAGGAGACACTTGCAGCCGCTTTCCCGGTATAATTGATACAGTGCTATTGTATACATAATTCAAACGCAATTAACACAATGTCAGGCGAATTTTGTCATTGTTTATCTTTGTTCCACATAGATTTAGGAGTTGTACTACTATCAACCTTGAGATATTTACGGGATAATGGGACACGTGTACGACAATTATATATACTCTTTTGTAAGAAGATACATAAGTTATTCGTGGGCAGAAATATTATTGCACGAGACGAATTGGAGTGCGCAAACTTGACGGAAATTATTTCCCGTCGCGCTCCGTTTTGCACTAAATGCAACAGTCGCTGCATTTTACTAGACCGTGTTACACTGTTGCATTACTGTATTTAAGCGTTTTTGTTGCTATCTTATTCTACGCAAAATACAAAAATTAATATATATCGTCTAAGTTGCGAGATACCGCAGCCAAATTACGGGACAGAATATCTCCCAATTAATGACACATTTTGCAACAATTTATATATATATGTCGCGTGTAGATAGAAACAAGATATGAATATGGATGTTATGTCATTGTTTCGTTATCTAAGGTATAAATAAACGTAATCATTTCGCTGATAAAGAAAATCGCACTATATATAGATACAATGTGTACATGTGAAAAACTAGAAGCTATTTGACTCATTTTCATGTTACACATATAAATTCTGACTTTTTCATGTTATAATATACATATAAATAAATTAACACTTATCGTTTTGCATTTTGCATTAAATATTTGAAGTTTAAAGTCAAGCAAATATAATAGTGTATTATGTGCAGTGTGAATGTCAAACTGTAGTGATACCGCACATGATCTTCATCTTCTGATGCAATTCACTTGTTTTTCTTCTTTTCTCCGTCAATCAAACCATAATAATTATTTACCGCCGAGACATTCCACATGAAATACTCTATAAATTGTAATCTTCATGTTCTTGTGAAAAAAATCTTTCAGAATTGTTATGAGGCTTTAGGTAAATGAGGTATCAGTATTATCATCACTATACTGCCCTTTTACGATTATTTCCACTAAAATGTGACATGTCTGTCATTTCAACATGTGTATTTCTAACGATAGCGATGTACATTGAAAATTATTTTATGTAATTAATACAGTTCTATGAACCTGTTGTGAAATTTAAGGTTAACTCTTGAGTTGTCTTGACAAGTTTCTCTGTACTTCGAGATATTCATTAGGTTTGCGTCATCTACCTAAAAAGATGAATGTTACTGACTTTGTAGAAACCCCAAATGATGGTGGGGGAGACGGAACTGACAATCGTCCTATGAATGGTGAACCTGAGTTAGCTTGTATAGTCCAAGATCAAGAAATGGAGGAAGGTATGAGACGATTTCTTTGCAGATCAGTTTTTGCTCGGATCTTCCACAATTATAAAGCCACTTTAATTCCACTGTAGTACGCATACTGATAAAGCGACGTTTCGTTTGAATAGATGAGGCCAGATCAGAAGCAACCTTCCGGTACACTGTGGAAAATATATCCAAAATGAAGGATTCTCAATTGTCACCCGCATGTTATGTCCGTAATTTGCCATGGAAGATTATGGTGATGCCACGTTCAAGTCAAACGCAAGAGAGGCAACCTCAGAGGTCACTTGGCTTTTTCCTACAGTGTAACGGAGAAAGTGAATCTACTTCTTGGAGCTGTTACGCTGTAGCTGAACTGCGCCTCCTCTCTTGCAAAGAAGGACAAGAACTATTTAGCAGAAGTAAGTTATTACACTGTTCGTCCTAAAGATTTATTCATTTAGTGCATATTAATTTACACACACACACACACACACACACCGCTCACATACACATATACACTTGATTTTTCATTTTGGTATATTTTAAAATAAGATTACACACATGTATTTTTATAATAATACATCCTATATTTTCATAGAAATTCAGCATCTCTTCTATAGCAAAGAAAACGACTGGGGCTTCAGTCACTTCATGACATGGCAGGATGTTCTGGATCCTGATAGAGGTTTCATAAAAGATGATTCAATCACGCTCGAGGTTTGTACCGTATTTTTATTAATCGATATCGTCGAATTGTGCACTTCATATATTTTTCAAGAATCTATCTTTATTATCTATCTTTATTACTCTCGCTATTGTGCCGGAACTGTATTTTAACCCGTTCGTAATGAAATTTTACAGTAAGCTGTAATACATCCTTCTCATAAATATGAATGAAGTATTTGTGAATGCTTCTTTTCATTAAGTATTCGTTTGTTTACTGATTTAACGAAACATAGCCTCATTAGAGGCAGGAAAGAATTGAGATATACATCACTAATTATGTAGAATTTACATTTGAATCACATGGCGTTTGTAACATATATATATATATATATATCGGTTATAATTAGGTTCATGTGGTGGCTGATGCACCTCATGGAGTTAGCTGGGACAGTAAAAAACATACGGGTTATGTAGGGTTGAAGAATCAAGGTGCTACGTGCTACATGAATTCTTTACTTCAAACTCTATACTTCACCAATCAGGTTGGTAAAATGCGTGCATTTCTCTCGAAGTTACTCGGTGTCCCATCCGTTGTTTGCTCTGCTAACTCGTATCTGTCCTCTTTTTTTGTTTCCTAGTTACGAAAAGCAGTGTACAAGATGCCAACGGAGAGTGACGATTCTAGTAAGAGCGTTGCGCTGGCCTTGCAGAGGGTCTTTCACGAATTACAGTTTTCTGACAAGCCTGTCGGCACGAAGAAGTTAACCAAGAGCTTCGGTTGGGAGACGTTGGATTCTTTCATGCAACACGACGTGCAGGAATTTTTACGTGTGGTGAGTGCATTATGCGCTTTATCGCAATTTATCCATTACATTAACTAAGATAAGATGTATGTATTAACTGTGGATTATCTTAAAAATTCAGCTGTTAGATAAATTGGAGAGCAAGATGAAGGGAACGTGTGTGGAGGGTACAGTGCCAAAATTGTTCGAGGGAAAAATGGTCTCATTTATCAAGTGTAAAAATATAGACTACAAATCCACGAGAGTTGAAACATTTTACGACATACAGTTGAATATAAAGGGCAAAAAGAGTAGTAAGTATCACATGTGTGTGCGCATGTCTATATGTATGTATACATATGGGAGAGGAATTGACATATACCTTTGTGGACCTCGGCAGTTACCTTAACAGAAAATGCACAAATGTTTTATTTTAGTTTACGAGTCTTTTAGCGACTACGTAAGCACAGAAAGTCTCGACGGTGATAACAAGTATGACGCGGGAGAGCACGGTTTGCAAGAAGCGGAGAAAGGCGTTATCTTTTCATCATTTCCACCGGTTTTGCACTTACATCTCATGCGGTTTCAATACGACCCGGTAACGGATTGTTCGGTCAAATTTAACGACAGGTAAGAAAATCAGCACTCCGCGCTGATTGACGACCGTCGAGCTATGCGGATCGATAACAGATGAGTGACTGGCACTCTCAGTATTTGCGTAATCGCGTGAACTTGTTTTTCAAGGTTTGAGTTTTATGAAAAAATTAGCCTCGGCAAGTATTTGCAAAATAAAGAGCCGACGAGCGCGGATTACACATTGCACGCAGTTCTGGTCCATAGTGGTGACAACCATGGAGGGCACTATGTTGTATTTATTAATCCTGCTGGTGACGGCAAAGTGAGTAAACAATTTACAGAATTTCAGCTTGTTAAATGTAACATCGATATTTCGATATGGAAACTCGCCTGTGATCTACCTGCCGTTACAAGATAATGCGGTAAAAGCGGAACTCCTATAGTAAATAATCTCTCACAAGTATCTTGGAGTAATAGATAATCTACTTTTTATTCTCATCCAACTGGGCCAAATCAGTTCTCAGCTGCACATTTTACTTTTCTTACATTTACAGTTGTATTTTTTGCAATATCATAACTTTGGAAGAAGTATTATAATTTATTAAATTCAAAGTAACCGTGTGGGATATTTGTTGCTATTTAATTTGCGGCAATTACGCCGATACACAATAGCTGTGCAATTTAGGATAATACATTGTCATGTTGCGACATCTCCGCAATACTTGGCTCCGTCTGTTCTGTGACAGTGGTGTAAGTTCGATGACGACGTCGTCTCACGTTGCACGAAGCAGGAAGCTATCGAACACAATTACGGTGGTCAAGATGAGGACATGTCTATGGCTGTGAAACATTGTACTAACGCTTATATGCTGGTTTACATAAGGAATTCAGAGCTGGAAAACGTCTTGCAAGAAGTGAAAGAAGAGGATATACCTCAAGAGGTCAGAAACGTCCTTCAAAGAGAGCTTTCCCAGGAGTTGAGCGACCTTGAACGTGAACGTGACAAAGACGCGACTGACTCGATTAAAGACTCGCACACAGAGACCGCGACTCTTCGTCCGTGCACGCAAAATCCTCGAAATCCAAATCTCTATATTCATGATTTTTAACCGACCGAACACGCCAATAGAGAAATAGGCGGAAAGAGTTGTAAATTGCTTGCGTTGCTTCTCGATCAAACTCTTCCTGAAGTCTCGATGTCGTATTGAGCCACAATGAGCCTGCTCATAGCATATAGGATTGTCAGATTATCACGGCGCATTTGGGAGAATACGTGATGCGTGTGTGTGTAAGAAAATCTCGAGGAGTTTCTCCGCCCTCGTTACGATATTTTGGCTACCATTGATAGTTTAATTTTTGAGACGGTATGTACAAATTAAAGGACTTATTTGACGGGATCGTATATATATTCCATTATTGTACGTTCCTTTTTTTTCTTCAAGCGGATTGTTATTCACTTTTTCTTGGATATTCTCTTGTGAAAGATTTACATTGCTATCAGCTTTCAGCTGCTCTACCGGTAAATGTTGATATTATAGAGATCGTGTCTATTTCTAAGTACAATGTTACATTTACAATGGTATAATACTGTATTATATACGAAAGATCGTTTACGCGCGCGCGTTAATTCTGTTCTATTAAATCCGTGCGTGTCGCGAGGTAAACTGTGTCAGTTAACGTCCGAGCAGAGAAATTCTGAGGATTAACATAAGACGTTTTTAATCGACGAGTGTACATTGTGGATTGAAAACTCTATAAACGCATGTTATATAGAGATTTGTTTTATATGGACAAGGACGCGATTGACGCCTTTTTTGATAGAGGATTTTTTCGGTGCGGGCGATTGAGGCATATATATAAGAATATCATGTGATTTTCTTTTTTTTATTTATTCTTAACTCACAAATAATTTTATATTAATAACGCAAAGAATTAAAGAGAAAGAGTGACGACTGATGTACGTGTTGCACGTTTGTCACTGTCGGACACGTTGAATTCAGAATCAGGGGAGAAACGTGAAGTCTGATTAGTCGGACTAATATCGTGACGAGCCTTAGGATTGTTTTGGGAATGTTTATTGTAACAAACATTGTATAATACTATATACGTGAAATTAATCATTGTATTGTAGTATACCGAAATCTTGAGTGAAAAGTGAACAAACATATCGCAAGGAAAAATTGGGTATGTGTGAATAATTGTATAAGAGAAATAGCAAAATGAGAGAGAGAGAGAGAGGGAGAGAGAGAGAGAGAGAGAGAGAGAGAGAGAGAGAGAGAGAGAGTTATTAGTGAGAATACAACAGGTATCGATCGGAGCTAATGAAGTTTTTAGCTCTTGCAATATAATACTTATACGGAAGGAAGAGAGAAGTAACCATTAAGTAGTACTTGTCAGTAACATCAGCTTCCTTGATACGTCTTCTTTAGCATATTTGCTATTTAACTGGATTGTTTAGTGAGTGAGACATCATGTGATTTATATTAATCAATTCCACGGGTTTTTTCGTGAAACTAATATTTAATAAAAAAAAAAAGTCGATACAAAGTAACACAGGCAAAGTGAGAACTCCGTGTTTTAACAGAGAATACAGTCACTCGAGGAAGTCGTTGATTCATTAAATTCTCTCCGTGTTAATAGTGATTATGATCATTGACAGATGCTATCTCTATTTATTTGTTGTTACATATTAATAAATAGACGGAAGAACGCTAAAGAAAAAAAAAATCATCGATAGAGTAAATACTTTACAATAGCTTTAATCGTGAGATACCTTTAAATGCTACACACACCACTATTTTATATATAAAAATAAAAAAAAGAGGAATAACGAATAAACTGTTGGATACTGCAAGATCTCACAGGCAGAAACCGCGTTAATTTTATTTTTTACCGTTGCACTTATCTATTTTATACAATTCAGTAACCAAGGTCCAAGTTACGAGGCATCTCCACACTACTATAGTTACACATTACATTGTTATAATTATTTGGCATGGGTGGTGGTTAATAGTGTTCTAATAGGTATGTATCACGCATGTACATAGCTATTTGCTAAAACGTTCGAGACATTTGTTTTGCTAAGATCTATTCCTTATATTCAAATGGTTGTATTTTGGATATTGAAACGGTAACACAGCATGTGACGAGATATATATATATATATATCTCGTCACATGCTGTGTTACCGTTTCACTATATCCATATATATATATATATGTTACCTAGTGAAATTTTAGCAAATTTGTCTACCTGTCTACGTCATATTTGTCATATGTCGTGTATTAATTAATCTTTTATATGTGTAATTACTAATGCACATGTACATGATTTGTATTTACTAGCGATCAAGATAAACGGGGGAACCATCACTCACCGCCAGATAATTTTCATTGTGTAATTGTTTGACTTGGTAGTCGATATAGCGGCAGATGAACAAAATTAAAATTACATGAAATGGAAAATGTACCGTCATTCTTTTGATGTTTCGAACATACACCTGTTCTCGAATCTCAAAAGCATGATAACGAACCAACTCTTTTCTAAAAGAAAAAAAAAGAAAAGAAAGCAAAAATTATGTAAATTGAGAAAAGGCAGTCGAGGAAAAATGATCAAATGAAATGAAAACGAGTACACACGTGGATAATTTTAATTTTGTTGGTCTAGCTGGTGGAGAGGCTGCAAGAGGAGAAGAGGCTGGAACAGATAAGAAGAAAGGAGAGAACGGAGGCGTACTTGTACATGACCGTCAATGTAATTCTCGAGGATAGCTTTGACGGTCACCAAGGGAATGATCTCTACGACCCAGAGCACGCTTTGTATCGTGTATTTCGCGTACGTAAGCAGGCGACCGTACACGATTTTCTCGAGATACTGAGCGATAGTTTGGTAAGTAAGCCTATCAGAGACAAATTGCTTTCACACACACACATTGTTTTCCCGTCGCTGATTCTTTGTGCTTACACGTGTACATCGGAATTGATTTACAAAGTAAATCGATATCGGTGTAACACCAGTGTAATGTATTCTGTGCGCTAACGCGATCCATAAAATGCTTTGTTAGCGGTTTCTTAGACTATATTCTTTCACAATATACGTACACACATCCGTACACCACGGTAGGTAATGAAACCTTAATAAAATATTTTGGTTTTTTGATATAAGATTGAGAAATGGTCTAATGTTAGTTAGTTTATTCTTTGTTATCCTTAATTTTTTCTTTGCGCGAAATAACAAGAGCAGATTGCACGTGGCTAAACGATCATGTTGAATCCATTCGATGCATTTCTCTTTCTTTGGTAGATAAAATTTTTTTTGTCTCCTCACCCTAAAAATTTTCCGGCTCATTCGTAGATCTGAAGAAAGATATTCGATGAAATGACGATGCAAGTGTTTAATATTGTCTGATTTTCTCCTACAGAAATACCCGATAGAACAGATTCGTATTTGGCCGTTCACTCAACGTTCAAATCAAACCTGCAGACCTTCGGTGATCGAACCAGAGGCTGATCTTCAGAAATCGATTATCGACTGTGCGGAAAATCACAACCCCTGGAACGTGTTTGTCGAACTCGTTCCACCTGACTCGGACATGACGGCGTTACCGCCTTTTGACAAAGACACGGACGTTTTACTTTTCTTTAAGCTCTATGATCCCAAAAACAAGAAAATTCATTACTGTGGTCATAATTATATGTCTGTCACTGCTAAAGTCCGTAAGTTGCAACAACTATATATATAAAGGAAAAACCATATAAATTTATAGAATTATCATTTTTTAATATTGAATTAATTTTTCTTCAGTTTTTTTCTAATTTTTCTACTTCAGTTATTTTTTAACTCTTACGATGTTTGAGGAGCAAATCTGTATGAGACAATCAATTTTCCAGAGGAGCTCATACCAATTTTAAACGAACGGGCCGGGTTCCCACCGGACACCGAGCTTGCTTTGTATGAGGAAATTAAACCGAATCTAGTTGAGAAGATAGACAACCTAACGGAGCCCTTGGAAAAAGTTCTCGAGGAATTGATGGACGGTGATATTATCGTTTTTCAAAAAGAAGGGGACAATGACATGTACGAACTTCCGACGTGTCGGGATTATTTCAAGTAAGTGGTGCAAGGAGCTTTCGCGAAGGTTCTTGACATCTCCCTTGTATCATCGGTCGAATCGTATCTCTGCAACCGTTGCGCGGAGCGTCGACGCTGACTCGTCGATGAATTTGCGTTTTTCAGGGACCTGTTCTACAGGGTAGAAGTGACGTTCTGTGACAAAACGATTCCCAACGACCCAGGTTTTACGATGGAACTTTCTCTGAGGATGACGTACGATCAAATGGCAAAGGCAGTGGCACAGCGAGTTGGCACAGATCCGTACCTCCTGCAATTCTTCAAATGTCAAAAGTAAGAATTCACATTCTTTCAGTCGCGTCGCGATGCCGCAGACGCTGTCTAGAACCGAGCCGAGAAGTTCCGCGAGAGAGAACCCCTTCGGGCGATAGATGACTTTACCTCGCAATTGTTTCTTTTTTTCTCTTGCAGTTACAAAGACTCTCCCGGCCATCCCTTGAAGTGTACATTCGAGGGCACACTCAAGGAACTGGTTTCGTATTGCAAGTCGAAAGTAAAGAAATTATTTTACCAACAGCTCAGTATTAGGGTGAACGAGCTAGAGAACAAAAAACAGTTCAAGTGCATATGGGTAGGCCCGTCGCTTAAGGAAGAGAAGGAGATTATTCTCTACCCGAATAAAAATGGCACCGTCGCCACGTTGCTCGAAGAGGCTAAGAAGCAGGTAGAATTATCGGAAAATGGATCGGGAAAGCTGAGGATATTAGAAATCAATTGCAACAAACTCTTGCCCGGGCCGAGGGACGAAGTGTCCTTAGATAACTTAAACGCGTCAGGCACCAAGCTGTACAGGATAGAGGAGATTCCGAACGACGAATTGAATTTAGCAGAAGACGAGATGCTCGTGCCTGTCGCGCATTTTCACAAAGACGTATTCTCAACGTTCGGTATACCCTTCTTCTTCAAGATAAAACACGTGAGTAGTAGTGTAACCCTTACGAAAGTAGTGAGTCGAGTCGATCGGAACAGGCAGACTGACCAACGTGTTGTTATGACTCTCTCAGGGTGAACCTTTCCACAAAATGAAGGACAGACTTTTGAAGAAATTAGGTGTTCAGGAAAAAGAATTCGAAAAGGTAGGCATCCTTATCTTATCTTTTTTGATCTCTTATGAGAATTCATAAAAAAACTTTGAAGTTTAAGTTCGCGGTGGTGTCAATGGGGAAACCGCAGTTCATCATCGATTCGCCGGACCATTGTATCGATATGACTGATTTCCTGCCTCACACAGGTAGTAAGTACGGAGCGGCTTGCTCAATCTTCCTAAAAGCGTGTCGATATAATAAAGTATATACATGAGTACGTACACGCGTACATATGTGTATACACGATTAAACGATTGCGACTGTTGCGTGTCGTACTCGCCGGTTTCTACCAACGTGGCTTGATTTTTGCCTGCCATTCATTGAATTATGACGTAAGTCGCTTTATTGAACTTTTTGTGGGCAACGTCGGTGGAAACATGGTATCGGCGCGTGATTTATATAGCTGTAGTGTGACGTTGGTTAAAGGATAAATTATGTGTATTTGCTTTTCAAACGTAGGCACATCACCACACAGGCCTTGGCTTGGCCTGGAGCACGTCAACAAAGCGCCGAAGCGCTCTCGCATCAACTACCTCGAAAAGGCCATTAAGATTTACAATTAAATTTCCACCACACGAAGAAGAATTAAATTAGGCAGCCACTCATAATAATTTATACGACTCTGTATAGTGAGAGAGCGACGTCTGATACGAGAGAGAGAGAGAGAGAGAGAGAGAGAGAGAGAGAGAGAGAGGATTAGAAAGAAAAAAAAAACACCCACGAAAGAAATATGCGTTCACACACATTTGTTTCTTCAGCCAGATTAAATATACGCGATTTTAATACTATGGAAACGATATCGGGTGGGAGTAAATCCAAGCTTTGTATACGATGGATTATTAAGAGACTGTCGTGAAATGTGCAGTGCTATTTTATGCATCATGGAAGAGCGATATGATGTAGTTCCTCGACTTGAATTTGTAAAGTTATTATGTAATATCGCCCGGTCGGCTTGCTTTGGCGTCATGCGAGATTCGACGCGAACTTTTGCGTGGAGTACGTGGAGAACGTTTTCATTGAGAAATTCAATTTTTGTAAGCTGCACCCAATCTATAACACCACTTGTCTGATTATTATCCGTAACACAGACTGTATATATATATATACATATATATATATATACATACCCCCCCTTTATTTTCCTGTAATTTTATCGGGACACTGAGAGTGAAAAACGGGCGCGTGACTTCTGCAAAGTTTAAGCTTTTTCTTTTATTCCGTCGTGTAAAATTCGTGTGTGTAAAGCCGTTAATCTCCGTTAATAAGCTGTTAAATCTCTAGAGCTGCTGTATCGTGTGCCGCATGATAACATGTAATACTCGTAACGCTGTGTAGGTATTCGAACGAGAACTGTGTTTACACGCATCTTTTTTTTTTTTCTTTTTTTATACGTATATATCGCATTTGATTCAGGATGTTTGAAACGTGGACTCGTTGTTTATATGTCTGCGCGTGAGGAAAGGAAAGCTAAAGGAAATTCGCAATTTTCTTCGAGAGATTTTACTATGTGAAAAGAGGTGCAACTTCTCATTAGAGTTCCCATGCGATCGAGCAAGTATAAAGGACTACATTGCTACGTTCTTCTATGTTGCTACGTGAAGAACATGAGGAGATTATGGACAATGTGCGTGTGCATGCGTGTGTATATGTGACAAAGAGAGAGAGAGAGAGAGAGAGAGAAAGAGAGAAAGAAAGAAAGAAAGAAAGAAAGAAAGAAAGAGAGAGAACGTGGGAGTATAAAGCTGCCTTTCAAACACCCTGAATCACCCCTGAACATCTTTCTTGCATTCAAGTGTACTAATTTTTTATGAATTTTATCTTGTACATTTTAAAAATGAAATTATTAAACTCCGCAAACGCGAAGGGATACATCCGAAGGAAAAGATCAGCGAAATGAGTGCTGCTCCAGAACAAGGAAATTCTCGTAGAACGATGCAGACATTAGCTCAACGCGAATCGCGTAACAGCATGTTCGGGGACTTTCTTTTTTAGTTTTTTTTTTTTTTTTATTAAAGAAAAGTATGCGTGCGAAACGACCGCTCTTGTTCTCGCGGAGCAACACGGGAAGTGTAACGATTCTATTGAGAAGGTATTATAGTATTCTCTTAATTTGATAATTTAAAAAAATTAGTGACTCATTTTTTTCCTTCTTTTTTTTTATACTTAATTTATAACACTGCACACGAGAGTAACGTTCTTGACGAAACTATCATCGAGGGGACCTGCGGCGCGCGTTGTGCACGATTTCCCGCTGCTTTTGCGAATCGTTGTTTATCAGTTTCTACGCCTCACTGTGATGAAGTCTGTAGCTGACATGTATTTAAAAACACCACAACTCACGAATATTACGAAATAGCGTAATTGTAAGCGAGTCGACGAGGACCGACCGAGCTTTCTATACGTGGATTATTTAATAAATTTCTCTTTATGTTGAAAAGAGGGAGAGAGAAATAACTGTTTTATATACATTATGTGCTTAAATTCTCAACGAGAATCGTCAAGTTTGCGCGCTTAGGCGTAATTAAGACACACACACACACACACAGCTTACTCTGAAGAGAAAGAGACGGAGGATGAAACGCGAATTACATGAACGTAGTAAAGAATCGCAACACATTTGCAATGTCGCATTGTTATGTGAAGTTCGCCGTCACAAACACGATGTAAAACAATATACCAATTTTAAGTATTTACGATAAAATTGGACGATATATCGCGGTGTGATTGACGCCGCTGTTACGTGGCATTTGTGTATATCATTGAGTCCATTATTTTGCATTATAAATCGCACGAATCGTTAGGGTTTTGACTGACCGAATGACGTGTGATGGAGATGATGATACGTCGGGGAGTGCGAAAGCGCTTTGCGTCGTGTGATCGAGTACCGGTTGTGTGACGGCAATAAGCACCGTCGATGCGCCGATGGTATCTATACGAGGATTGGACGCGCTTTTGAGCCAAGCGGAAGGATGTGTGCACGATATGGTATTTTGTAAAACAGAATCTAAATATGGCTGTATATACAGACCGTTCGGTGGCGTAATAATCGTAATTTTAATATATAACGCATCTGCGAGAAAAAAATATTCCAAATTATCACACACACTGCGAACACGTAGAGCGTTTTTTGCTACTTACGTCTACAATCGCGTTTACTCGAGTCTGTTCGGAATAATTTCGAATAACAGCATGTTTACCGGATATGTTGTTGCAAGGTGGATGCGCGAGAGCGAGCGAGCGCGCGAGAGAGAGAGTGTGTACGCGTGTCACTTACAATAAAATTCAAATCGAATTGTTGTAAAGAACATAAGAGCATCACCACCACAGATTTGAGTACTGAGGAGATATTTTACAGAGAGAGAGAGAGAGAGAGAGAAAGTCGCAAATATCTTTGTACGCCTAAAGGTTGGTGTTTGCAGTATCGTTGCATTATTATAGCCACGTATGTTCCTGACTGCATTTCTTCAGTACTGTCTTTTCTAGGTGAACAGATAAAGAAAGAAAGAATGAAAAGAATGACACGATCGTTTCATAAAGAATCTCTGCCGAGTCACAGGTGGAAAGCACGCTAGCGTTAGACTTTTCGTAGTAGAAGCGGCGATAACGATATTTTATACAGTCTGCAAGAGAGAGAGAGAGAGAGAGAGAGAGAGAGAGAGAGAGAGAGAGANGAAAAGAAAGGGGAGGATTCTCCCCGATAAATGATTGTTGCAATCTTCGTATATTGTGACGTAGTAGGAGGCCATGGAAATCACATTTTGTTGTTTATATATATATACGTATATATACATACATACAAATATACATATATGTATATATATATTTCGTTATTAGAAGATTCCTTAATGATTACTGGAGGCAATCTTAAAGCAAGAAATGACACGATACAGAGAAAGAGAAAAAGAAACGGAAAGAGGACAGTTGATAATGAATTGAAAAGTGAACCCGTGTACTTTTCCTTTTTGCAAGAAAAAAAAAACAAAAAGTTACACAAAAGTCTGTCCGTAACACGAGATCACGCCTGAGTTATCAATTGTATTAATATCAGCAGTATCGGCGCGCACGCGCGCGACGAACCGGGGGAGCCGGCACGCGATTGCTTGTAATAGGTTGTAAAACGTGACTTTTGCGTTTCTGTAGACGCTGACTTTATAAGGGAAACTGCTCAACTGCGATTGTAAATTTGACTATTTGATAGTTCATTTCTAGGGCGAGCGATGAACTAAGAATGCGATGCAGGAAGTATGCGTAAAGAGGGAAAAAAAAATGATAATAAAAAGCAATACAAATGGAAACGCGCGCGCGTTTTATCATTTTTCAGTGTGTTTGCGTTCTTCTCTTGCTTCTCTTTTCATTTCTTCGTGCCTTTATTCGCCGGGAAATCGTCGGTATGTCCCTGCAGTAACATCTCGCCCGGTGTTCAAGAGAAAAACTGTCTCACCGTTGAATCAATTACGTGACGCCGAACAACGAGTTCGTACGCAGACTTGACTCTCGCGTTTCCAGACGTTATGGGCGCTGCGAGGACTGCAAAAAAGTTACACGAACGCGCGTGATTAGGTCGACTTTCACTCGCGGCCGATCAGGTTCCCTTTGCAGGCCGTCCGAGCACCACGTCGTCGTTAGCCTAGGTATCAAGATTGAGTAATCACATGATGAAACGAATGCGTAACAGCGTAATCGTCGTGCGTCAGTGATAAGAAAACGCAATTATATGTTCGCAACAGCTGGTCTCGCCTCCCCGTTGCGATCATCTTCGCGCATCCTCGTCGTTGCTCAACGATCGCCAGCCGTTATTATTAATACATTATATACTTGCGAAATCTCCGGACGATCACGCACATATTTCCGTGTAACACTGTCGCGGAGGAACGGAAAAATCAATCAATGCCATGATCCAACGATTGACTATTAAACGGAAGACCTTCTTCCACCGGTGAAAACATGACGTTTCGTTCAATCATGAGACTCGCGTACTCGCCGGGGATAAAATGCACGCAGATTTCCGCGCACGCGAGCGGATCGAAGAATCGCGCGGATGGACAGACGGCGAGAGGAGATAGGCGATAACGCGGAAAGCATCCGGAGAGGGTCTTTCGATAAAAATGTCGACCAGATCGGCCAGTTCAAGCGGGAACTGCGAGCGTATGTGCGTGCGTGCGAGCCGAGGAAAAGTCGCTGTGCGCCACTTTCGAAGGAGCGAGGCGAAGCCTGCTCCTCTGAAACAGCCGAGTCGTTTTAGTCGTCCGAGATTTTTGCCCGAAGATCCCCCGATAACGCGGAGATCTCGAAGAAAAGACGCGAGTCTCGCAATCTGGAAGTGATCTCGGGAAGATACGGTCGCCGATGGTGGAAAGTATTTCCCAGCTCGAACGGATTTTCTCGCTGCGCGCGCGTGTAGACCCGTTAACTGCTAGTTGAACGTGTCTTCATTGGGAAATCGAGGGTGCTGACTCGATCGGGTGCCGAGAACTGCTGGACCACGTTGACCGTGTCTCAGGAACGTTAGATCGACAAATACGGTAAGACATTGCAGTCGGGTAGAAGAAACGAATTGTCGAGCTAAAAGAAAAAAAAAAGATATTCATATCAGATTTGTTGAATCTTCAAATATTGAATCTTAAAGAGAAACGAGTGACGTACAAGTAAGATTATTTTTCTTTCTTTGTGCTATTATTAGCACACTAGAGAAGCATTAGTACACATGAGAAGCTTATGACACAAATATTCGTAAAGTCGTTCCGATAATTTTCAAATAACACAAGTTATATAAGAGATTAGTCGTGAGCAACTCTCCTCTGGTGTCAAGTCAACTGGGAGCATATGTGTGAGCACTTTGAACATTTCTACTTTAGTTTGGTAATCCAAACATCACGTGTGTCTCAACATACATATTATTATTGTGTGGCGTAAATACTCACGGAATCATCTCGGGAATTTTCAAGTGACTGGAGTTGCACATGAAATAAATCTGCGAGTCTCTAAAATATCAAGTCAACTGTAAACACAGTGTAAGCATGTAGGATATTTTTATTTTAGTTCGGCACTCTGACCGTCATGTATGTCTTAATATTTACATATTATTATTAACAAAGTATACATATTATTTATTCAACGCTCTGATACTGACACGAGTCAATATAAGTTCATCTTATCAGGTTTTTTTACAATTTTTAAATCTACGCATCATATATATGAGGTCGAAAATTGTACAAGCAATCCTGATTACAGTGTCAAAGCATATACGACGTCCTGCGCACACGTATTATATTAAGTAAAGTAAACAAACACCTTCGATGTGAGTTGGTGCATGGTCGAGCGGTGGCCGTCGACGAGAGGAGTCGTGCGACTTGGAGAGCGGATCCTACGTGAGAAGTAGCTCTGGCATCGTACCTTCTTCCTGCGAATTATAAAACTTCCTGGGAATATTAAAACAGCAAACGGTAAGCATTGAATTCTCTGCATACACACCGTCGCTCGGATTCTCCCGCGAAGGAACAAGCACGTTCCGTCTCGCACGCATGCGCGGCGGCGTGTCATGTTCGCGGCTGTGCAAGGACAATTCGGCGACTCGGTCCGCGATCCGACAAGAGGTCGAGTAAATCGTTTTGTGTGTTCGTTTTTCAGGCAGGAGTCGCGGAGGCGCCATTCCGTCGCGGAGGAAACCGGCAGCTCGACGGACAACGTTGAGTCCGGCACGTGAGTGACGCATCATTCGCAGCGGTCGGTACAGCTGTGCGAAGGAGAAATGGCCGGCTGCAATTGGTCGTTTTTGAATCGGCGCGCTTTTCAATTGGCTGACGGCCTGTTGAGCGGCCGGCGTTGCCGCGGCGGTCACTTCGCCGGCGTGACAAGCTGTATTCCGGAGGTCTGCGAGCTGCCGCGAAGAAGCGTTCATCTGTCGACCACCTGTTGCGTACCCAAGCGAGTAAGTTGTGTCTCCGAGACGATCACGCGACCTGAGGAAGTCGTCGTGTTAGCATGCATGTGTGAAGATCTCCCGGATACGAAATGAGAAAACCGCCCGAACCACGTTGCTTTCCGTTTCGTTGCACTCGCACGTGATCGGACGAACTATGGCCTTTATCAGACATTGACGGTGTTGCACCGAGAACGACGTCCCAGCGCGGATCAGTCGCATAATTTGCGTCACGCTTTGCGAAACTAGCCTGTCGACGCATGCGCTTTGCCACATTGCAGCCCTTTGTTTCGAAGCACTCGAGCCCAAATATCCCGGAGGCTGGTGAGCGGGAAGTGCGAATTCTGCTTCCGCGTCAATCTCGGCTTGGTCGTTCGCTTGGCGTTCGTCTCGTTCTCGTCGAAACGCGAATCTCGCCGTTTCTCTCGGAGAACATTCTAATTCCACTCGAGAATTCGAAGGGAGAAGCACCCGAGTTTCGAGAAATGAATTCGAGCTTGAACTATTTTTGGTACATGAAAGAAATTCGTTATCATTCCCGCTACATTGTGTATCACACACGGAAAGTCGACCACGAGAATATTACGACAGCTATTTCATAATGCTTCTTAGATTCTTTTCCTCGGAATGTACCTCGGGTTTATCACGTACTGGCGCTTATCTCCCCGTGTTATGATTTCATTTGTCGTACGATATTTACCGAGAAGATTTCTTCGTAGACTACTCACCGAGAATGCCGGGCGAGAACGAAGAGAGAGAGAGAGAGAGAAAAAGAGAAAGAGAGAGAGCGATAATCATCGCTGAAACGATCATAAATAATTCACGATGTATCGTTGTGTGCAAATATGTTTTTGTACTTGTCGCATCACGCGTGGGGTTATCGAATGACACTTCGAGCTTCTTTCGAGTTATGGACCAATGAACAAGCGCAATTCCTATTAAATTGTGTCTAACTGCTGCTGCAGTCGCTGTAACACTCGCCTCGCCTCTCGATAAATTCCAAGTGCTCGTCGAAGCGAAGTTCACTGATACAATTCGGATTATTACCAAGACTTATCGCGAGGTAACGTTAAACGAAAAAAAAAAACGAGAAAGTAATTAAAAATCCCAAAATTAGGAAGAGCTTGACAAAGATTTAAATACGTGGGAAAAGAATGAGCGTGTCAATTCAAACTCGTATTCTCATGTACAAACGAGAAATACATGTACAAACGAGAATATATGATCTTATATGAAGACAAAAATTTACATAAAGAAATTCTATATAATTCCGCTAAAAATATATTCTCGTTTTAAAATCGTTCGAAATTCTCGTTCAAAATTATTCAAGAATAATTTCATAAATTGTGAGGAAAAAAATATTGGATAGAAAGAATGATATTTTCAAACTGATACAATTCTTAGTCTAATTTAATAAAATAATAAAATTACTCTTGAATAACAAGAATATGAAATTTTTATTGTAACTATCTAGAATTTCTTCGCGTAAGTAGATATTTTATCTCCATGTAAGATTATATATTTTTGCTTATATATATAAAAATACAAGTCTTAAATTGATACTAATCTTTTCTTCCGTGTAGCTAACTTATTACGATATTCAACTACTAATCATAATTTCGTAAGCGTTAAAAACAATCGCTGCTTGCTTCAATTAACGATACTAGACATTGAACTTGTAATCGGACAACATTGACCGGCAGAACATGGAATCGATTCTTTACTCCAACATCTGGGAGACCGATCCCGAGCTCTTCGAATTGATGAAGAAGGAGAAGAAGCGGCAGCAGTGCGCGTTGGAGATGATCGCGAGCGAGAACTTCACGTCTCTCAGCGTGTTGCAGTGCCTGGGTTCGTGTCTGCACAACAAGTACAGCGAAGGATTGCCGGGTCACAGGTAATTGAGCCTCCGTCGTCATCACGGATACAATCGTGTTCATGAACACCAGATCGGATCGAATTCTTTATTCTCGCGCGTTCGCAGGTATTACGGCGGGAACGAATACATCGACGAGATCGAATTGCTGGCGCAGAAACGCGCCTTGGAGGCCTTCGATCTAAACCCGGAGGAATGGGGCTGCAACGTGCAGCCTTACTCGGGAAGTCCGGCGAATTTCGCGGTGTACACGGGCCTGTGCGAGCCCCATGGACGCATAATGGGCCTGGACCTGCCCGATGGTGGCCATCTGACTCACGGTAAATGCCAGCAAATTGGCCAATTAGTGGCGCACGACGCGGTTCACAATCGGTCTCATCCGTGTATCTCCCGTAGGTTTCTTCACCTCGTCCAAGAAGATCTCCGCCTCGTCTATCTTCTTCGAATCCATGCCGTACAAAGTCAACTCCGAGACCGGGCTGATCGACTACGACAAGTGCGCGGAGCTCGCGAGATTGTTCAAGCCTAAGATTATCATCGCTGGGGTCTCCTGCTACAGCAGGTATCTGGATTACAAGCGTTTCCGTCAGATCGCCGACGAGAACAACGCTTATCTCTTCAGCGACATGGCGCACGTCGCGGGAATGGTCGCCGCCGGATTGATACCCAGTCCTTTCAAGTACAGCGACGTCGTCTCGACGACCACGCATAAGACCTTACGGTGTGTTATACATACTACTGTTATATAACTGTTGTGACAATTGTAATGAGGGAAATAATGGCGAGATATCTGTCGGCTTCAGCGGTCCGCGCGCCGGTGTGATCTTCTTCCGGAAAGGTGTGCGAAGCGTCACGAAGGACGGAAAGAAGATCATGTACGACATCGAGAACAAGATCAATATGGCGGTGTTCCCGGGTCTCCAAGGCGGGCCTCACAATCACGCTATCGCCGGTATAGCCACCACCATGAAGCAAGCGAAATCGCCCGAGTTCATCGCTTATCAGAAGCAAATATTGGCCAACGCGAAGAGGCTGTGCCAGAGTCTGCAGGATCGCGGTTACAAGATCAGCACGGGCGGCACGGACGTTCACATGTTGCTGATGGATCTGCGCCCAATGGGTATCACCGGCTCGAAAGCAGAAGCGATCTTGGAGTCTGTCTCCATCGCCTGCAACAAGAACACCGTTCCCGGTGATAAGAGCGCGATGAATCCCAGCGGCATCAGATTGGGAACGCCGGCGCTCACTACTCGCGGCCTGGTCGAGGACGATATTGACAAGGTTGCGGAATTCATACATAAAGGTAACTATGTTGTCGATCCTTTTCTATCTCCGGCGCTTCCGCTCGACCGGTTTCCGAACGCTAATGAGCTGCACGTTGCAACTCAGATGAGTCAGACGCACGGAAAAAAAGTCTGATTCAATTCATCTGACGATGAACAAACTACAAGCGCGTTTTAATCGAAGAAAACGGAATTTCTGGTTGTAAGTACTGGATTTGGTTTTGTAAGAATCGGCAATTCCGTTTCCCTTTCATCCAAAACGCTTTTGGGTTTGTTCATTGTCCGGTAAAAATTAAGCCTTCTTTTTCCATGCGTGGTGCAATATGCATTACTTGAATTGGAGAATACCGTGATTATAATTTCATGTCATTCCGTTGTAGGATTGCTGCTTTCTAAGGAAGTGAGTAACATCTCCGGACCGAAGCTGGACGATTACAAGAGAGTATTGAACACTAACGAGGATGTTAAAGCGAAGATCGCGAGTCTGAGGTCGGAAGTAGAGGCATTTTCCAAGAAATTTCTCATTCCCGGCATTGAAGAATATTAACAGCAGTAAATTCGCTGAGTTGAAGCGGAATGTTCCGGCTACGCGCCATTTTTGTACGATCTGCAATTTGTAACACTTCACAAAATAATCTACAAAATTATAGAAGGCTTGGATCTCTTATAAATTTCTCTCTATATAATATAGTAGACTACTGTCAGGCGTACTCGGTGATGTGCAGGTTCAATTGCGCATTCAGAAATATTAGCAGTCTGAATATATTATGTAGAAGGGTATGATATTGTTTAATTAACAATGCATGGCGTGTTAATAGCATTAAATGTTAAAAGTAATTTGTTACATGACCGAGATATCGATAATATCTTTTTTATTTATCTCGAATTACTCAAAATTGTTTCGTGATGGAAACATCATGCACATAGTATCTCCCGGTAAAATTTAGTAATTTACGTGCGCGCCTCATATTTGATATATCAATTATTGTTAGATTGTAACATCATGGTTTATTTGTTCAACTTAATATAAGATCTTGTAATTTGTAATTTTCTATAATTTGTAATTTTCTATAATTTGCATAATTTGACATTTGTAAAAAAATTCTTTTTATATATTTTGTAATATACCAGTTTTTAATATCGTTGTCAACCATTTGTCGTCAATTTCGCGTTTTTCTTGCGATGTAAATCGTTTTCACGTAAATCACACATCTCTTCAGTGAAGCAATAGATAATACGAGATCGCACGAATGCATTGACATAAAAAAATATAATTTGAAAAATCTCAATAATAATTGTGTATTGTGAACGTGACGACAGGCGCGCATTTTTCACTCAATTTACATACCAGTGATGATTATTAGATAAAAGGTTTCCCTGACGGATATATAGAAGGCTGGCCCTAGAGTAATAATAATAATAATAATAATAATAATAATAATAATAATAATAATAATAATAATAGTGCATATCAGGCAACCGCGTTATTTGTCACTATATTTTCCAAGTGCGTGATTTATACAAATATATATAAGATATAAATTAAGCTTTTCCCCAAATACTACTCTTACGTTCCCACACGCGTACGGGATTGCAAGATTAGTATCCGACTGATAAGGTATTCACATACAGAATATCCGAAGATATTTAGAATAATGCTAGAATTCATTTCACTAGGAGAATGCGCGTCGTCTAGCAAAACGATACACACATTCGTCAACGCGTTAATATCAAATGCGTCAATATCGACTCTCGATTAATTAATTTAACTTTTCTAGTAAACCAATTTGCAAGTGTAGAATGTTCCGCGTTATATGTATGTGTGTGTGTGTAATAACAATTTATTCATCACACATTGATGTGCACGATGTTCCGGATTATGCACAATAAACAAAGGATACTCGATGTAAGTGCATTGCATCTTTCTATCATGAACGGGGGAACATACTTATTACAAATCTAAATTTATTAGCTAAATGTTCTCATTTTTTCATTTTTTTTTTTAGTACACAGCAATATATTACTCTTATTAATTGTTACTGTGAATGTGTCTCTCGTTACGCAGCGAGCGACGGCCGTTTCTTTCTTTAATTAAATACGTGTCTATTTTTCATTAGAGTTTTAAACGTTTCTTGCCTAATATTATAGTACGGAATTCGATAAATAAATATATCGCTTGTTGCCCGGGGCGGAATTCACTTCCTCGATTTGCCTCCTCGGCAACAAGTATTCTCGACAAGCATTCTTCTTCTTCTTCTTCTTCTTCGGAAGCTATAATTACGTCACATTTATTTGTCCACCACGTGATTCAGTTCATATAAAATAAATTTTCGATCGAGCAGTTACACACGCAGGTATACATCGATGTGATTATTATTATGCATGGTATACGGGTTTGTGGCTAATGGCAAGGATTTTATTCAAAGTCCAAGTATATAATTGCTGAATTCATAACAGCAGTTGTACAGAATGACGAGCAGTGTTGCGTGAATTCTAACTATTTAACCACCGGAGTAATAATTTCAGTTAACGTCTCTCAACTTGCGGAATACCGCATTTAAATTAAAATTGAACACTCTCTGCCACCTCAAAAATCTTACAAGTGATATATATACGAGATATATACACACATATGTTGAGAAAGAGGGAGAGGTGTGTATATTAAATATGTACATACAAGCCAGTACTTACGTTTCGAACGGTAGTCCTTTGCGGATACAACGCTTCGTACGCGAAAATTATGCATCCCGTTATTGCACATCCGTAAGTTCGACTCGATTAAAGGGAAGTTTAGTTATAGGTATGTATAAAAACGAATCGAGATATCTATTATGCACTATTGTGAATTCAGTGTACGCAACTTACAACTTTGATAAATTCCTGATAAGAAGTCGTCCCACATACTTTCATCCCTTTCATGCGAATTTACACATCACCAGACCCCTTCTTCCTTCTCCAGTTGCGCAAGTTCCGCGATTTCACAATTTCATATTCGGGCGATACGAGCGCGATCCCCGGTGAAAGTATTTGGGTCGAGGAATAATATATATATATAATATATATATATTTATATTTTATATATAAAAGTTCCATATTATATATATATTCAGCATCACACTGCACAACGCTGCCTCATCTTTAATCAATCAAGTTCTTGCACGGCGTACGAGGTCGAGGCGGTGTTTCGTTGTTCGTCGTCGTATTCGTCGTCGTCCAGGCCATTGAAGAAGGACTGCAGTAACGAGCTGAATAATCCCTGATTACGTGGACGCGGCGGCGGAATATTGAAAAAGAGTTGGCCTATTTTGTCTAAGTACTGTCGATAACATGGATCTCTGCTTAAGGATATCTGGTACTGATCGCAGAGTACTGTGAACACTGCTAATTTCCCACTGTAAAAACGTATCTCGGATCAGAGTAAGTGGGTGTAACAGTTGCTGAATCAAGAATATCTCAGATATCGCCGAGTATGCCAACCTGCGCTATCGATTTACCTGTCGATAGTTTTGAGTAGAAAAAACAAGAAGTTTAACAGGGGAAGAAGGTACGGCGGACCGGTACTTATTTTCGGATGCCTCGAAGTGTAAGAATTAAAGGCCTCCTGCGCCGTTGCCTTGTTTTGTAGACAAAGATACCTAAGGACAGACCAGTGAGCTCTTAGCGCATAACCCGTCGCACTTCACGTGTAACGTATTGCACTATCATCTGAAGTTGGATTCGTCATTTTATAACCTCTAACCTTACTATATCTCGTAATGTTAAGCATTTTATAAGAACTGTGCTTACTGAAAGACTGCGTGAGCTATGAAGAGGTCTATTTCGTTCATGTATCCCCGCTGCTCGTGAAGCTCCACCAACATCGCCGCGCATCCGGAGCCATCTCTACTATGCATAAAATGCTGCCTCGCCATTATATAATTTTTCTCTGATAAACAATCAGTCGGTTACATATATATAGCGTGCGCGTAAAGTGAGAACGATGACATCAACACGATGCCTCTCGGTGGATTACCTCTCCAAAATACTTGAGCTATCTTCTGATGCAGGTCCGGGTGACCGGTTTTGTAATCCGTGCCCTTCGTACTCCACTTGAGCGCGGATTGCACAAACATGTCTCTCTCGGGGGAGGTGGGGCTCATCGTGCCGAACAATGTTGTGATCTTTTCGAAGAAAACCTCTGTCGGCTCCGTCTCCGATTGCGTTAAAACATTGATAAATAAGATTCCTAAGTCGGCGCCGCTGGCATGCTGCAAGAGAGACACGGTTACAGCACGGCTGTACGATTGCGACAGGACATACCGACCGGTCGAGCTGTCGTTCGCACCCGACTCGCACTAATTGCGCTGGCACAACGGGCATGTTAACACTTCATTTTGACGTTTATCGTTGTATCTGAAAGGCACTCGACTGTGAGAAGGGCCCGTTCGAGAATCCCGTTGAAAGTGCCGATAAACACTTTTAAAAGGACACGTCACTCGACAACGACACTCGACCGGCAACTGTTCGCATACCTGATCGTGCTGTAATAAAAGCATTGATCCATTATATAGCAATTCCAAAAGTTCCGAGTATTTTTTCTGACCGAGGTATCTGCAAGCAGAGGTTAGACAAGCACGGTGAGGATCGCGCATGGGAAAGAGAGAGAGAGAGAGAGAGAGAGGACACTCTGACGGCGCGAGGCGATCGTTGGCTCACCTGAAATACAAAGTTCTGTACATCTGATGGGCCTCATAATAATTTTCCGAGTTTATCGACGCTTCTAATTTCGCCAAAACTCGCTGAACACCGTGACCGCACCGCGAGGCCATGTTTATGCTGTTCGGGTAACCTCGCACTTTTACGCACTCACGGTTGGTACTGGTATGTGATTTTTGTGTGTGTGTGTGTGTATGATTCAAGTTGATGAGGCAACCACGACCCTGCTGACGATGCTGCAAGCTCGTGCGCGTGTGCACGCATGCGAGTGCAACGCATCGGATGATCGGGAGAATAGGGGCGAATAAATGTTGAAGAACGTTAACATCGACGTCCAGATAATTGTGAAAGTATCGACTTTCGATAGCAGATCGTGTCTTGGGCGGGTAATTGATTTATTTTCAAATCTCTCTCTTCACCTTCCGAAATATGCGCATTATTTATAGAAACATCGGTAGAACGTCTCGTCAATGAATCCCACCTACTCTGGAACAAACGCACCAGGTGTTCGTTCCAGTTCGTTTCCAGTTTCAACTGCAAACCTGGCTTTCGTCTGCCACGTTGGCGACTCTGTCGACTGAATCAATCGTCGATTGGCTTGATTAAAGGTTGATAAAAAGACCCGTGTCGCACTAATCGATGTAAAAACAGCCTTAGTTGTCTTATTATAAAGTCGCGGAAAATTGACCAATCGCAGTCGATTATTTCCGATCGCGAGGGGAAATAATCGACCATGATTGGTCGGTTTCTTTCGGCCCCGCGATTGCGCGACTAATGTAAAACCGACCTACACTGTCAATCTACTTGATTTTACCGATGCAGATGACGCCGTTGAGTGCCTCACTTTGACATGACTTGCATCAACACGGAGCTCTCATTGGCTGCGCATCATCTGTCTTGTGGAATTTTCTAGAAAACTCAAGTACGAGATCTGAAGAATTCTTTGTGTGAAATCGACGGCCAATCGACGCGTCCGATACTCTTCGCCGCACAACAATGAAATATCGCCCCAAAGGTGTCGATTTGCAATTCTGTCCCGTCGACAGCTTGAATCGCCCATTACACACGCCATAGCAGCTTTCGTCTCATTTCGTATCGTGCAGCGTTGTGAGTACGGAGTACGGAGAACGGTGTTCGTTTGCTCTCAACGAAGCTGTTCTTCGGAAGTGTTAACTCTGCGTTTGCTGATCATTTTGGTATCATCCTTATGCTGAGAAGCCACAGAAAGTAAGGAAGCAACGTTTTCGGCCGATAATCAAACATTGAGATTTTTTTGGCAACTTTACAGGAAATACGTCTGGTAGGTCATATATCCAATAGATTTGTGACGTTCTCCGTCTCTTTTTTTTCCGCAACCTTTAATGCGTGTTGTTACGTAGAACTGTTACTTGTAACGATTATCCCACGACAAGTTCATAGTGGGAGATCGTCGAAACAGTATGGGAAGGACCCGTCGCTTTCCTGTTTGTGATTTTTGCACCAAGAAATAACAGGAAAGCTCCCACTCCAAGACTGATATAATTGTCGTCGATATTTCTGTTGATCTTTCTCACGTGTAATAATACGATACCTAGGATCAATTTCTTTTCACACCTGCACCGAGTTACACCGTAGCTCAAACGAAGCCGACATATTTCTAATACTTGATGGAAGAGAGAAAAAAATAAAGATTACAAGTTATAGTTCGGAAAATACAAAAAGCAGATCCTTATGCTCCGAACGAAATCAGGGCATTTAATATATTCCGTCAATGTAAATGTAATTAGCATTAGCCATTAGCATTTATAGCTATAACAATAGATATTTTATTAAGCAAAATATTTAAATAACTACAAAATAGTTATATTGTGATAATTATTTGTAGTCAAATTTGGTCTAACAATTATTGCTTCATTTGCAAGAGGCTTAAGAAGGTAGGAAAAATAGAGGAAGAAGAAAAATGGCGAGGAAACATATGGGAAATACAAAGGAAATTTCCTATATAAATATATATGTGGTAACGAAGAACTATCAGACAATTAATAAAGCAGAAATTCATTATTACTTTGGCTTGTTTAATGTTTTATTTATATATATATATATATATCAATACTTTATAAAATCTTTGTTAATTTAATTATTATACTGTAGGATATTTGAAGTCTGCTATTGCATACCTACACCTGTACATTTCTTTTTTTACAGGAATGTCTTTATGAGCTGACAATTGTAATCAACTAATACAATGGAAGGACCATTAGAAGTGAAACATTCTATCGCGGGTACGGAAGAACGCATAAAGTCGGAGACATCTATACAAAATTCAGATAGTAGCGAGCGAAACGACGGTGTGGCCTCGCCGCCTCCTAATTGCAGCATTTGTCTGGGGAAATTAGTTAACAAGTCCTTTACGGACAGTTGCCTGCACCAATTTTGTTTTACCTGCTTACTTAAGTGGTCCAAAATAAAAACAGAATGTCCGCTGTGTAAGCAAACCTTCAAATCGATCATACACAACGTAAGATCCGAGGAAGATTATGATCAGTATCATGTACCTCCTGAATTGGCACAAATTCCTCAACCCCATGGCATGGCTACTTTGGATGACTTGGATGTTGGCAGATGGGACGATGTACCTCGACTTATTTACAGGTATAGCTTTTTATAGTTATATTGAAACATACACACATTTGATGGTACATAGAATGATTGACAATGCGAGATTGCACAACAATTGTTGAATAAATGACAGAGCGATGACCGGCCATCATCGACACCATCATGGGACATTGTTAAATCCGGAGCAGGTCGCTAGACGCGAACAGCTGCCCAGCTTGGCACCTCAAGTGACTAGAGAAGAACTTAGACGTAGACGCGAGAACCCTTTGGAATACCGACGCACTGTATATAGACATGGAATGTGGGCTGTCCCATTACCTGACATATTCGGTCGCTTTCGCGAATGTAGCGCTGAATATTACAGGTAGGGATCTCCGATTGGCACACTCCGGTTTTCGTCCCGTTTACTTGATCAACGACTAGATAAATCGCTATCGCTATCGTTGCTTCTTGCGAAATTATATGTATCGCGTATATCGGACACAATGTGTGAATTATCTCGGCGCTTCTCGTTTGACCTTGCAGGAGACACCCAAGGGAACTAGAACGTCTTGTACCGTGGTTGACCAGAGAACTCCAAGTGTTACTTGACTTCAGCACGCTCGTGACGTGCGTGTTGAATATAATAAAGAACGTTTTAACGCAATGCGACATTAGAAGCTCGGAATTCCACAGTGTCATGCGACCCCACTTCAATATACACACGGATCACTTCATACACGAACTGTTGAACTTCGCCCAATCCAATTTCGACGTGATCGGATACGACCAGACCGTTGCTTACTTACCATGTGGTTAGTATTCCTTTGCGCAGGGCTAATTGCATCTCGCGATTATGTAGATAAGTGCATTAATGCGCGCGTTAATCAGTAGTCGGCGCGCTTTTCGCAGGTTTAGCAAACGAACTCGCGCCACGACCTTATGTCCCACCGACATCGCCTACGTCCAGTAGTATTAGTAGTAACAGTAATACCAGTCTTGCTACTGATAACTCAGATATACGAATACTGGATGAAGCGATCGACTTACGAGTGAACAACTTGATGCCGAATGTCCTACCATTCCCTGCGAGTCAACCAGGTAAGAAGAACATTATGCGATTTCTTTTCCAAGAGATTCTCAAGTATGAGCAAATGATGAGACTTGGTGTTTCCTATCGATTAAGTAGCAAGAATTTCCGACTAGCTTCGTAGTCCAGATTTTCAATGAAGACAAGTTGAGATCTGCGCATCTCGCTATGTCGTACATGTAACTTTCCTGACATAATATATTGAACATAATTCATATTTACATAGGACCCAGTACGGTAGGACAGCTGCTGCGCTCGTTAGATCCGTCTTACGAAGTACCGGAACTTTTGGTTCTCTCGTCAAATTCCTCTGATACGGACGGCGACTGTGAGATAATCGGTTACGTAAAACCACGTCACGAAAGGACACCGGAAGTCATCGAGTTGCTTTCGTCTGATACCGAGCAAGCAGCTCCCCCCGTTCCATCTAATGAGAATGCACCGTGAGTTGCAGAAGAACTATATCGAATTATTCAAATCCGTCACATTCATTCTTTTGTATTATTTCATTTCCAAACTTGATATTCCAATTCCTAGAAATATATATCATCGTTTATAATTATAAATATGTATCACAAGTTATTACAAGAGTTATACATATAAGTACAGATACAATATGACTTATATAAAATATTTTGTTCATTAGATCGACCTCGGAAGAACAGTTTTCGGAGAATTTTTCATTGCCAAGTACGTCTTACGCTACTGTGGAACGATTGCTCGACTCGTCATCCTCATCGACGACAAGTGTAGGTGATAATTCTGACAGCGATTACAATCCCAGACAAAATAAACGATCGAATCACTCGAAAAAAGCGTCCGGTAGGAAGCTCTTCGGAAGAGTACATAAAAAATCTACCAAGTCCAGGAGCCATAACAAGCGATCTAGGAATTCGTACAGTTCCGAGGAGAGTGATTTTAAGAAGAGGGGCAGTGCGAAGGTCGCGAAAACTAGGAAGTACACTTCCAGTGATTCCAGCTCGTCGGAAAATTCGCTGGCGAAATGCGACGAAAAACGATCGACGAAGGAGAGATACAGCGCCAAAGAACGGATGAAGTTCACCGATAAGGAAGGAGGAACCTATCCGAACGTACATTCGTTCGACGACGATAGTAGTAGCACGGAGACCAAGTGTGTTAAACGGTATATATTGAAAAGGAAACGTTCCTTCAGTTCAAGTGATTACACAGTGAAGAGTGGGAGGATAACGAGGAAGGAGAACAAAGAGAGAACTTCAACCCAGGGAAAACCGACGTCTAACAGTAAAGATCGCAAGCGTAGTGAAAACAGACAATCCAGATCCAGAAGTACCAGCTTGTCCTCTAACGTCTCTGAAGAAAGTAAGGCGCTGAACTACAGCTACTACGAGTCACGAGACACGGGCGAGTACAGAAGTCAAGACGACAGTGCCTCGATGAGCAAAGTTACACAGACAAGGAGGCAACCTGAGTCCAGATCAAAAAGCAAACTATGTTATTCCTCGGATTCGGGGGACGATCGTTTGAGATCGAGCAGCCAGTGTAGCAATCGCTCCAACAAATCCTACCCATACTGGAGACGATCGAAACACAAGGACAGATACAAAGACAAGGACCGAAATCGATACAGTAGCAGAATATGCAGTTTATCGCGAACGGGTTTGAGTCTGACTATAATGTCTACGAAGAACGATGTGTATCCGACTAAACATTCCGACTGCGTGGAGAGCCACAAGTCATCGCGCTCGGCTTATAAGGAATCGAAGCACAGAAAGTCCCAAAGCGAAAAGAAGTTGAGATCAAAAAAGAGGAGGCGACGTCTACGAACTCTCTCTACTTCAGAGTCCGAATAATATCACTTATATATTAGCCCATATATTGTATAATAAATTTTGATTTGAAGATGTCAACGGTGTCTCAGAAATTCAGCGTAATGTGAGAGTTGATAATTTTTTAAGCGATCAAGTTAATTTCCTACAAATTTGTATCATTTTTGTTCACATAGTTCCATCGTAATATTAAGTCTGTTCCGTAAATACAGCCGTCATAAATTCGTGACACAAATCACATGATGTTTTATGCATGTATTTATTAGAGTTACCTTTCTCAAAGAGGACGAACGTTTATATTTTAATATATTCGCTTGCAGAAACAATATCAATGGTATTCAGAAAATTATGTTCTCAGAAGGAAAATGTGACTATTATATAATAAAATGTACGTTAGAAATTTGGCGTAAAATATTGTCGTAATATGATATTTCGTGAAAAAAAAAATGATTACAATATAATGCAGTGTGAAAGATAGTATATATTGTTATACGCTACCTTTTACTGGGATATAATTTTTTGACGTGTGTGTTTATCAAATCACACGGCAACTGATATATGTATATTTATATACTCGATATGTGGAAATATATAAATATATATATATATAGATATATACATAGGAGTATACCAATATATGTATCAACATATGTGTGGTATACATTATATATTTCATACATTGAATGTCCCAAAGATTGCAAAAAAAAACAGACATCATAGACATCTATAATTAATTAAAATTTGCATGTAAAGATAAAGCCAATTTTTTAGTGGGTATACGTTTTCATAAGTTACTTTTATGTGCGTACGTGTAAAAAGTATTTATATGTGCAAAAAAATCGGGGATGCGCATATCCTTCACAAATACTGTCTCAGTTTGCAAAACTACAAAATAACAGTTTGCAAATTTTACAATGTAAGCTATAAATCGATTGGAAAAGATTCAATGTGAGACTCTACAATAAAAGTATCGATATACGTTTGAGGAATGTTAAAAATTTATATTATGCGTTCATTTTCACACGCATAAAATTGATAGATGTAAAATTAACCGAATGTTTTTTAGTACATCGTTAGAAATAAAAAATTGAAATTAACATGAGAATGTTGTAACACGTGAAGTACGCGTGCATGTTACTGCGACTGTGTTCGGGGAACGCGTTATCAGATTTACGCGTCATTCTATCCTTGTTTAAGTCTAATGAGCGACAAAGATCAAATGGAGCTGACAGCGCGCTCTCTGAACGCAGCCTTTGAAGGTTGGCTTAACGCGCGCGGAGCATGCGTAGAACCTGTCTCACCATCTTTTGTATTACTTTGAAAGTCGTTTTGCTGTGTACCGTATCAAGTTCGTATAATCGTCTCCTCTTTCCTCTCTCAGTTGATGCATGAAACTGTGACCCTGCGGCGGAGTTCACGGAACGGGGAACGTAGACAATAGTGACAAAAAAAATGGATCAAAGATATTTCCGGGATCAGTCGTTGATTTCACGCGTGCAAACGGTAACATATATATTGCAAAGAGGTTATGTCTTTTCCACAATCGCCCTGTATGTATGTCACGTGCATATAATGCGAATTATTCGATAGAAAAATGCTTTTGATTCACTTCAAACACGGGTGTCCGTTTATTTATTCATTCCATGATCGCACGTAACTTTACGTCGATTTTTTTTTGTTCGTAGTACATGCGTGAAAACGAAAACAAAGTTTACATCGATGTCAATGAAATGGCAGACACATTGCAAAAGCGGTACAGGGACTATCGCGGTAAGAAACGCGGTGCTTTCCGCGCGATGGTACGTAAAGCATACGACGAGCTCACAGAATTGTTCTCGAGGAAGCCAATCCGTGAGTGCTCTACATACAACGATTATGAAGATGATGATATCGACATTGAGGTATCTGGCTGATGGTGGTATTTTCCTCCGAATATTATTTCAACATCCCATCTCAAAGGCGGCATCTATAGAGAAGCTGTTTTATTTCAGTCAGATTCGCAACAAGGTCCGATAGGCAATATGTTACTACGGATGTACAATAAATCATCGTGCAAACAAAATGGAAACTCCAGCGATAAAGAATTGATAGATATCAGCAGTGACGACGATGCGTCTAAGTCTGAATCTAAGGTTGAATCGAAAATTGAGAAGGATGCAAAAGAGGAGAAGCTTGTATATAATACAGCCGAAAATTCTATGCATATATCTCCATCGATTATATTTAAGCTCGAATCACCAGCTTCTCCTTCGCCATCACCACCACCACCACCACCGCCGCCGCCGCCGCCACCACCGTCTCAGACACCTCAGTCACCTCCGATACCAGCAGCGGTATGTATACATGCATGACTTATGTTTAATAAAGATGCTAAAGAATAAAAAAATAATATGTAAACCTGTGTTGATACCTTTCCAGCAACCCGCAAATGGAACTATAAAATCGATACCTTTAGAATCTACGAAGAAACGGCAGAGAGGAAGGGATAATGACAGTGCGCCGTTTGTAGCGGCGAAAAAATCAAAAACTGTGCCCGTCACAGAATTAAAAGTTACATTCTCGAGTGTAGGAGGCAGTGAGAAAGTCTTAAAGACTGTGTGCACTTTACTCGCTCACATGAAACATCCGGAGATCTTCAAGCAGCTCGGCATATCTCCGCCAAGGGGATTTTTACTTCATGGACCGCCTGGATGTGGAAAAACATTACTGGCGCATGCAGTTGCGGGAGTAAGATAATATTTAATTTCGAACAAATAGAGAAAAAGTATTTGCTACGGTAGAAACATATATCATGTATTCAGGTTATTATCTGAATAGAACAATTCATTGATTGCGTTCTGTGTAAATTACTACAAAAATATAGAGTCGTATCGGTTTACATGCATACGAATCTTTGTTTCGTCCATGTCTCGTGCTGATGAATATTTCTCCTATAAAATTAGGAATTAAACATGCCTCTGCTGAAAGTAGCAGCACCTGAGCTTATAGCTGGAGTATCTGGCGAGAGCGAAGCCCGTATCAGAGAATTATTTGATCAAGCCTTAGCTCTTGTACCGTGTATTATTTTCTTGGATGAAATCGATGCTATCGCGCCGCATAGAGCTACAGCACAGAGAGAAATGGAACGTAGAATTGTTGCACAATTATTGTCATGCTTAGATGGTAAAGTATTATCACTTTTATTACACGTGTTATTATACATTGTACATTTCTTACACCGACTTTGAAATATCTCCGTCAGAGCTGAATCTTAAAGAAAATGGGGACAGAGTATTGGTAATCGGTGCGACAAATCGACCCGATTCACTGGACCCTGCATTAAGGAGAGCAGGACGCTTTGATCGTGAAGTGTGCCTTGGAATACCGGACAGGGAAGCAAGGGCTAAGATTCTAGCGGTGCATACTGAAAAAGTTGTACTGGCTTCTGACGTCAGTTTATCGACGATAGCCTCTCTTACTCCGGGTTTTGTTGGTGCGGACTTGGTTGCCTTAATTCGAGAAGCTGCTATGGCTGCCGTGGACAGGTGACAAATCGTCTTGAATATTACATACAAATATAACTCTTACGTATATCTCCTCTTATTTGTACGATGGATATTCTTCGGTAAGACCACCATATATAATCTTTACAGAGTTTTTGAGAATCTTAAGAAAGGAAACGTGAAAGGGAAATTAGCGGAAGTAATCGAAGTGGCTAAAGAGTCTGCTGAGAAGCCTGCTAAAGAGTCTGCTGAGGAATCGCAGGCTTCCGAAAATATGGGAAATATAGCTGACACTAATGATATAACAGAATGTCCCGTAGACGACAATCCAGATTCGAGGGAGGAATTGGCTAAAAGTTCTCTAGACGTGGATAAAGACGTATATATAGATAAAAGCATAATTGCTCAGACGGATAAGGACATGACAAGTCAAACACGTACGACACAAATCGTCACACGGCGTAAATCGTCGGATCTTGCGAGCCTGTTGACTTGGTTGCGCACCGAACCGCCGCTTTCTCCGGAACGCTTGTCGACTTTGCGTGTCGAACACAGTGATTTCGAGACTGCCCTGCGCGTTGTTCAACCCTCGGCAAAGAGGGAAGGATTCGCAACGGTTCCCGACGTAACATGGAACGATGTTGGCTCGCTGCATGATATACGGCAGGAGTTACAAATGGCGATTCTCGTGAGTATCGATACTTGGCTATAATACTTTGTATCAGTGGAGTAAAATCCCCCACGTAGCCATCAAGTTGTCTATCTCGCTACACTTTCGGCGCGTTAAATAAATATGTTTATGTATCGCAGGCTCCCGTCAGGTATCCCGAACAATTCAATGCGTTAGGTTTAACTGCTCCTGCGGGAGTATTGTTGTGCGGCCCACCTGGTTGTGGGAAGACGTTACTAGCCAAAGCCGTCGCCAACGAAGCCGGAATTAATTTCATTTCCGTCAAAGGACCGGAACTTCTAAACATGGTCAGTGCGCCCTACTGTTTTTACATTACGCTTGCGAAACTATGACGTAATCTGTACTTGTCTAACGTAAATTGTATACTTAATATTTTAGTATGTTGGCGAAAGCGAGAAGGCGGTCCGTCAGTGTTTCTTAAGGGCCAGGAACTCGGCACCGTGCGTAATATTTTTCGACGAGTTGGACGCTTTGTGTCCTAAGAGAACAGAAAGCGATCATTCGGCCACCTCGCGCGTCGTTAATCAGATGCTTACAGAAATGGATGGTGTCGAGGGTCGACAAGGGGTATTTCTCATGGCCGCCAGTAATCGGCCTGACATTATAGATCCGGCCGTCCTGAGGCCCGGGAGGCTGGACAAAATTTTATATGTCGGTCTGCCGACCGCTACGGAACGAATCGACATTCTGCATACGCTAACAAAAGTATGGTTCTCGTGAATACGCAACAATTTGTTTCGTCCGTCAGTTAACAATCGACATTGATCTCTAACGTGAATACGAATGTTTGTGGTAGAATAAAACCAGGCCGAAATTAAACGAAGAGGTCGACTTGCATTCGGTGGGACATCACGCTACGGGCTTTACCGGTGCGGATTTGGCAGCCTTGATAAGAGAGGCCGGTATGGAGGCGTTGAAGGAAGCGATTGCGAATTGCGACAGCGTACCAGAGATCTGTAGGCGACACATTACACTGGCGTTTCAGAAAGTACAGCCGTCTGTCCTCGAGAAGGCAAGTATTCGCTTGGTTTGACTTTACGCGTTGAATATTAACGCGAGGCCGTACATTCCGCAGGATATCAAACATTACGAGAAACTGAGAAAATTGTATTCAGCTAAGGAGAAGCCCGAGGGAAAGTTTACTCCGATGGAGATTTGAAGTACAATCGCTAGAAAGAGCCTGCAGGCTGGTGAATTCTTCCATTATCGAGTTTCACGTTAATTTTTACATAGCGCAAGTGAAAGTTACTTTTATAGATTAGTTTTCACAACTGTAATGCTTGGTAAGTGGACGTAATTGAATTTCCTGCGAGTTTCTTACGAGAAACCAATGATATTGTTTCAAGATCTTCATACGTTCTATATGTTATTGACAAATCCGAACGTGTATACTCGATCTTTACGAAGATATGAGATATCAAGCATATGTAATTTTAATACGTTAAGAAGTCTTGATAAAAATGCATACATCAATAAACATTTAATATCGTACGCTCTATATTCCCTTTTTTTTTCTTTTTTTTTTTTTTTTTGGACTACGTGTGTTGTAGGTTTAATCGAAGACACAAGTAATATATCCTAAAATAAGATCTCACATCAGGCACTTCTAAAACATTGAATATTATTTAATAATCATCTAATACAGACCCGCTCGTTCGTACATTCGACTTACCGACAATTTCAATTGATACTTGCAGTTTACTTCGCTAATAAAATAAAGAGTAGAGGTATCGTCGTGAAATCGTGTAAAAACCGCAATAAGACATAATGTATCTAGTTATCTGCTTTAAATCTGCTGGTGTGTATACTAGCTAAGCACCAGTGTGGAGTAAACACAGTTCAGATCATACACGTACATTAAAATTTTACATTAAATGCAATGTCAATTAATAAAGTTATACATTATTAATCACGTGAGCAAATCAATTTTTGCTTTAAAAAATCTGTTCACTTATCTATTAAGCACATACCCAGAACCATATTTATGTATAAAGAAATACTTTAGATACAACATTGAGATAATGATGCTTTGTGTCTGAACATTTCACTCACGCCTTTTCTATCTTGCGATTTTTTACAATCCACTGATGTGCGAGAACGCCGTCCATATCCAATCTCTTTTCCGGGTCCACAACAATAAGCTGATAAATAATTCGCTGAGAGTTAGCAAGGTTTTAAGACACGATACATACGATCGAAACTGAGTTATTACTTAAACTCACCTTTGAAATCAAGTCTTTCGCATCTTCGCTGACGAAGCTCGGGAATGTGTATCGCAATTTCGAGATATTTTTACACGTTTCATCGTTAGTCTTTGCGTAGAAAGGAGGTTGGCCGACCAAGCACTCGTAACACAATACTCCAACGCTCCAAAAGTCAACAGTGTGGTTGTGCGTTTTGCCAGATACCATCTCTGGTGGCAGATAATCTAAAGTACCGCATAAAGTATCTCTTCGAGAAGAAGGAGCATGTACGGACCACCCGAAGTCGGCTATCTTTAATTCACCACCAGCCCCGAGAAGTAAATTCTCAGGTTTGATGTCGCGATGAATAACTTTCTTGCTGTGACAATATTTTAACGCATCTGCTAATTGAGCTATGTATGTGGCTGTCCTATAAACATGCATTTATAAATAATTATACACATGCATACAGCTACTAATTTAGAGAATAATCATTTTTCAATCAAACACTTTACCTTTGTTCATCAAATCGTTTGTTGGGTTGACTATGTAACTCTTTATACAGCTCTCCTTTCTGTGCGTACTCCAATATTAAATAAATACGCTTATCGTCGTAGAAATAGCCGTACATTCTTAAAATATTTGGATGTCTGAAAAGTTGAAAAATTATATCACATTACTCAGTTAATACTTGGTATATAGTTGCGCATAGATAACAGTTATCAAGACATCTTAATCAATAGTAAGTATACCAATAGAGTTAATATTAAGACAATACCTTAAATGCATTTGAATTTCTATCTCTCTTCGTACTTGATGCAATATTTGTGCCCTGTCTATTACTAATCTGTAGAGTACTTTCATGGCTATTATAAATTTGGATCTCTTTTCTCTAGCCAGGTATACATTGCCAAACTTTCCTTTGCCTAAAGGACGTCCGATGTCAAAATCCACCAGTGTCCATTTCTTCTGGCTTTGACTTTCTGTATTTGCATCCGAAGTACTAACTTTCTGATCTTCTTCATTCTTAGCAGTCTTTACCTCTTTACAATTTTCATTGCAATACTGCTGTTGCATTTGATTGGAATCTATTGGTTTAGATGCCAAGGGTAACTTTGGTGGTGGCATTAATTCCATGGATGTCTTTGCAGTGTTGTTATCATCCTGCTCTGCATCAGAAATACTCAGGTGCTTGAAACTGCTGACCTTCAACGCTTGTATAGTTGACTGATGATGTGTTGCGTAGTTTTCCTTGTCCATTATATATTTTATAATCGCCTTGTTTTACAATTTAGACGATCGCTAGAGAATGACGTTCTTCGTGTAATAATTTATATATACAATAACTTATGAGAAGTATGACCTGAGGAAAAATATGTACATACACAGTAGTACCGTTAATATCTTTCAAATGTTAAACGTCAATTTAGGAATTTTATACATACGAAAGTTTCTGTATCAAGTTCACGCGATATATAACTTCACACAAATCACTATTCGGAGCATTGAAATGCTGAATGTAATTGTTCGAAGGCACTTTTATCAAAATGACCCTGTCAAAGCTGACGTTACGTGGAACCCGACTTCCTCACCTTTTCAAAATAACGAATGTCTGCTGTTGATAGGCCAATATGAAATTCGCCATATATCACACAGTGATGTAGACGAAACACATCAGCGACCGAGCGTACAGAGTACGCCACTGAACGACCGCCATATTTATTTCAACAAATCGAAAGTCGATAGTTTATTTCAATATTTATATGAAAATAAGACCATTACGATAAACGTTTCTAAATAACAGCGAAATCCGGTCACATAATATCCGCTGCAATGTTCGTTGTTCCAACACTTAATTAAACGCTGTTGCGACTCGTGTAGCTCGCGATTATTTTGGAACAAATTACTTCCGGTCTACAATAATGTCTGTTCACAATAGGTATTTTAAGCCTTAAGAAATTGACCAATCACAGTCGAATGTGAGAAGAATAATCGACTGTGATTGGTTCCATTTCTTAAGGCTTAGAGCTTAAATTCTCATTGTAGACCTCGCTTTAGGGCAACTTTCAACAATCTCGGTTCGGTCAAGCTACGGCCAACTCAACGGAACTGACTAATCGCATCGATCAATTCGGTTGGTCAATGCGAGATTGGTCAATGGTTGAGTTGATTCTGTCGGTCGATCGAACTGTGGTTGGTGAGAGTCACCCTGACAAACGCCACTCTCCGTCTAGTAAAATTCCCGAACGCACCCCATACAGGCGAGATCTGGTGGATTGCAGATGGCGACGGGCTTACTCACCCCATCCAGGCGCTCTAGGACGGCGCGCGCAGCAGCCTTTCTGACGGTTGCCAGTGGCGGGTCGCCAGTGGCGTCGTGACAATGTTTGTTTACACGAGCAACGTGACCACGAGGACGACGACGACGTCTGCTACTAGGAAGCTCGACGAAAATGCGATCGAGGCATCGGCCCAATGCAGTGAGTACGTGTCACTGACCGTTCGTTCCTCGATTCCCGTCAATTTGCCGTCTCGATGCGTTCGGCGTAGGTCTTCCCGCGAAATTCCGCTCGAACAGCTGACAGGCGACGGCCGCGAATTCGCGCGTCGTGCTGTAGGAATTGCGTCGAATTGCGTGGCCACCAGCCTTGTACGAGGGAACGCGAGTGTCGCGAATCGGTCGTTCGTTCGTCACGATCGCCGAGGGACAAGGGCAGACCGTGACGTGGCGGCGTTTCGCGCGACATCGGCCGCGAATGAATGAATGAACAAACGAACGAACGCGACAGCAGAGGCGGGCGCGGCGACGCACGACACGTGCGTCCATATTTATGTCCTGCGCCTTTCCGCGCGAATCTCTTCTCGCTCTCCCCCGCACGAATGACTATTTCGAAGTAGCACGAATCAAGCGGCTACGCGTTTCGGATCGGCTGCTCGTCGGTGCAAACTTGCGGGCATCGCGGCCCGACGAGATTTTTCGCGCTTCCGACGAAACGGCGGGGTGAATGAGCTGGCGATCGCCTTGTTCCGATGAAATTCACCGTGAGTCGATTACACGTTAATGACAAGCAGTAAGGTACCTTTAATTATAAGTATAACAATGTACCGAGGTACTGTAATTAAAGAGAACTTCCGATCACCACCGTCGTCGTCGAGACGTAACGGTGAGGAACGGAGAGCACCCCACGAGCTTACACAATTGACATTGTAATTATAATACGATAGGGTCGTTGATTTAAATATTTCGTTTGCATGTTATATAAGTCGACGCGGTCACGAACTCTTCGACGACTTTCTTATCAAGTGTAAAGATTCGCTGCGGATTGTCGTTTACCCCGTCAGCCGAAGCGCGCGCGTGCTTGACATCAGAGGGGCGTAACTGTGGGGGCATCGTCGTTACAGGTGCGAAAAAGAGCGCACTCGGGACGACGAGAGAAAGAGAGAGAGAGAGAGAGGAACGGTGCTACGGAGGATCGTCGGAGCCACGGATCAATACGATTCAGTCAGGGTCACGCGGCAGTGGATTCTCCAAAGGGAGAGAGATCGATATATCCCCGCGTGACGATGTCCCATTCGAAATCTCGAGAATCGAAATCGCGCATTGGCGAGACGCGTCAATCGGCGTAGACACGTAGACACGCGATCGTCCGCCGAGAGAGAAAGAGAGAAAGAGCGTATGCGCGTATGCACCTCTGTGACCTGGCGGGAATACGCAAATTCCGCATTCCTCCCCCTCAGAGTTTCGGCCAACTTTCGCGGATTCGGCCGCGACATCGCGGGCGAACCGATCGAAACCGTTTGCTTGCCGTGTGCGTGCATCTTCCTTCCTCTCACTCCCCCCCGTCCGCATCTTGGCAGTCGCAAAAACGGAAACATGAGTCGCGCCGCCACCGCGAGGTGTCAGGCCGACGTAAGGCTCGGGCTCGCGGCTGTGGACGGCCACCATTGTTGAAACACTGCTTTGGTTGATGCCCTGGACGATTTTCGGGCCGAAAAATCGTAAATTCACCCGTGCCCGACGGCGGAAGGGCCTCGCTGCGGTAGGTGCGTGTGTGCGTACGGTGCGGGCGTCGTGCGGTAGTGGCGTGTGTGATAGTGTGTGATACGTGTGCCGCCCGGGCGACGGTGCGACTCTTCGCAACGCTCTCGCGAGAAACGAGAGAGAGAGAGAGGAGAGAGCGGGTGTGTGGCGGGCTGACGACGGTCTCTCGTCGTCTTCTCTCGACGTTCCCGTCGTCCTGCGGAAACGGGGAATCCGCGAGCGAGCCCAGCCAGCGGCAGCCGGGAGAGCAGGCCCGCCGCTTTCGTCATTTCGTTCGCGTGACGGCGAAGAACGCGCACGACGACGACGACGGGCTCGTGTGTACCGCAGCAGTAACAGTGTGCGTGCGTGTGCATGTGTACAAGTGTGTGTGTGTGTCTGTGTGTGAGAGAGAGAGAGAGCGAGTATGTCTGTGCACCGTGCTCTCTCGCCCCGTTGACGGAGACACAGCGCGCACCGGGTCGCTGAGCGCGCGACACTACGTCGCGTGTGCTACTCGCCCGCCGTCGTCCTCGTCGCCGCCACCACCACCATCGTTGCCGGTCGTAACGCGACGCCGCGTCACGTACGTGTGTGTGTGCACGTTGCTGCGCGCATCATCCCCGTGCGTGCGTACGAGCATGCGAACGAAACGGTTCGGAGAGAATCGCCACCGCAACGATTTCATGCGGCGTAATAAAGAGCGCGAGCGGTACGGTCGTGTGTGTCGATTGCTCGGACGAGTATTCTCGCCGAGTAGAGGCCTGACATCCGCCGTAGCGACGGATCGTCGTCGTTGACACGCGGCTTCTTCAGAGCGCATTGTTGCTGCGGACGCCGCTATATGGGACGCGCCTCCTCCCTGCACCTCGCACGCACGGGATTACAGCGACGTCTCTCTCTCTCTCTCTTCCTCTTTCTCTCTCGTCCCCGTTTATCCTCCTCTTCCCTCCCTGCCTCCCTCTCTCTCTCTCTGTTCCTCTCTGGTGTCGTTATCTCACTCCCGTTCTCTCCGAGGTCCACGCTCGCAGCGCGTTCGTAGGCGCGTTCGCGGTGCACGCGCGCGGTGGCGACGACGACGCTATCGATGGTGTAGTACGGAGTGCGTTTACGTATATACAGGAATATACAGCACGAACGTATCCCCGCCGCTCGCGTCCCTCATAAGCGTATGTATACGTGCGTGTCGTGCGCACTGTGCGCCCGCTGCTGTGCGTGTCTCCCTCTCGATCCTTCCCTCCTTGCCTGCCGTCCGCGGTGTGTACGCGCGCGGTGCCACGGGATTTCGGCGATCTCGCACGCCAGCAGCGTGGTCGGCCGACTGATTCGGTGTCCGTGAGTCGAGTGCCGAGGTGTCGTCGGTGTCTCGTGGACGACGCCGATGTCGGGTCGCGACCGTGCCTAACCACAAATTTCGCGGTTAGAATTCGCTGGAAGGGAACACGTTGCGCCTCCGGCGAGAACGACGAATTCAACGGGATCTCACGGGGGGGGAATTCACGAGGTTTCGAGTATCTCGGAGTCTGTTCCTCTTCCTTCTTCGAAGTCTCCGCAAAGGAGGCGTCGACGTGACGGATAATCTCAGGCGTGTCGTCACCGAGGAAAAAATCCTCGCTCTGTGTGAAAGCTGTGCGATGAATGTGAAATAAGTGCAGCTACATCGCGGTGTCCTTCCCGTGACAGCCGCTTGCGAATGTTGTGTTGACGTGAGTTGTATGTCTGTGTTGCGAACGTATGGTCGCGCAGTGAGTAATAACCGTTTCGATAGTCGGTATCAATGGGCTGTATGAATGAAAACGGAGTGAATGCTTGTTTGGCGAAAAGTGGAAGTGTAGGATACTTGCTCCGGTTAGATGAAAGCAAGAACGTAGATTGTCCCTTTCACCTTTTTTCCTCTTTTCTCTCACAGGAGATGTTTGTCTTTTGAATGACTTACATTTCTACGGCAACGTTAATCCAGTTCAGTGACAATCATAGTAAATTCTTACATTCGATTGGTACGTTCTTTTAGGTCTAATAATATACTTTAATTAAATGCGAGAACTCACAAACTACGGTTGCCACTAAACCGGATTAACGTGTAAACGAAATCATTGTTACCACCGGTAGCAAAGCAATCATTAACGGTATTAATTAATCGTAATTCTTTGAAAATGATATTGCTTATAAAATATCATTTGCATCTTATTCTTCCTGTTGTCTCACGATACTTTATATATTTCATGAGCAGAATTGCGCCCACTTCAAGCACGAGTAAATCAGTGATTCGTTTGATTTAGTTAAATCACTTGATAGTACCGGATGATTACATTGCAAGAAGTGAGAGTGGGAGAGATCGTTCAAAAGCGTAGTATATATTTACTGTATTATTAAAATCAGGAAATGTTTCTGATTGCAGGACCTGCGCATACGCTTAATCACACATCACAAGGAGAGGAGCTTGACAAACCTCTGTATCATTATTCGCCCGTTCACAATATATATATAAATGAGGCGTATACTGGCAATTCGTATCTTCAAGATGGTGTGACCTGTTACAAACCTCCTGTTGTTCCCAGCAATGGTAAAGCACCCCGTATTATCTTATCGTCTATCTTTGTGTCCTGTATCAAAGCCAAAAGAAGAATAACATATTCTTATCCGGCCAGCTCTGAGTGTAAAAGAAAACTCAATAAAAACCGCACTCTTGTCTATCAGGCTGTTGTTCTCTGGTTTCTCTAATTTCTATTGAGAGCTTTTATCAGTGATACAGTAAAATTTATCGCAAGCATGTGCACACGTGTGTCTACGTGTTCATGCGTTTCTCCGTGTAGACGCGCGAGACTTACAATGGATCTTGCTTTCAGGGTTACACGCGTCTCACGTTGCGCCACGATGGGCGCTACCGTACGATTTCATGCAGTGGGATGCTGAAAGATTGATAGCACACAACGCTGTGTACGACGCATATGAGTTACATCACAAGGACAAAAGTACCACGGAATCCGACGACTTGGGTTCCGAGTATTCCGCCGAGTTGTTACACAATGACAGCATAGTGAATTCTAGTGTATTGACTGGTGCAACTGATGAATCACTGTCCGGACACACGGGAAAGCTGTCGGGGGAAGTGCACGCGACTAGTTCGAGTGACTGTCGGAAGGATCTCATCGAGAGGACCTTTAAATTATTAGGTATCGACGAACGGACGGTATCCTTGTGTCGCATCGCGGGAGATCAAACCAGACTGTCGGCTGGATCGCGGGGAAAGGTTTCTCATCGCGGCGAAACGGACATCGATACCTCCGGCAACCGTACGTCGAAGCACTCGACCGCCGACACGAACCACGACGCTCTGAGAATCGTGTCGGACATTATCGAGCAGTGCGAGAGAGCCTTCGACGACTGCGCCACTACCGTGTCGGATAATGAGCCGCTTGATTTAGTAATCAATTCTAAGAGAACTGCGTGCAGTCGTACCGCTCACGGCGAGGCGACAGATCGACCCGAGTACTTATCGGTCATCGATAAAGAGACGCTTCCAGTGAGCGGTGCCGTTTTAAAGGAAACAAACCATTCCCCCGATGCGCATGGTTGTCGCAAAGGTGTAAAGTATAAGAATTTCGGTTTGCTACAATTCTCCGACCTGGACAAGGTATCATGTAACACGGACAGGGGCAAGGAATTACTGAGGGCCGTCGATAATCTGCACGATGAGATAAACGAGAGAGCTGTAACGGGCGACAATTTGAAGTTAGAGAAGGCGTACGACATTCTGGACAAGTACGTGACGCACGTGTTGTCTTTGCGTTTGAGCGACGCCAAGCGGAAGGAACTGTCCTGGACGACGCATGCACGGCCGGGCGTTAAATGTAACAGCATCAAGAAGGAGTACGCCACCGAGGAGGAAGCACACAAGATAGAGAGCACTGTCTATAATACAAGATTAAACAATTGGGAGTATCTCGAGATGTCAGGACAGTACCCGGGACATGGCCGACCACCGGTTGGCACGCCTCCGCCTCCGCACACTGTCTGGAACCTCACTATGACGCAGGGTCAAGGTAATTTTCACGACAGTTACCGCAAGCCCGTTATTAAGACGCGAACGGCTGTTGTGCGAAATCCGAATAAAATAAGCGAAGTTCTCCAGCGCGCGGATGTGCGCGGTCAGTTTGTCGTACGTATTCTGATATTTTCCGTACCTCGTTTCTTCATTGATTGCCATTGCAAACCGTTCAGGAAGGTCACTCGGTGACCCGAACGTTCGATATTCTATTAATGTATGAAATTGACTTAACGGTCAACAAGGTAATTACAGTTGAGTTGTGATTAAGCGACGCATGAGACGTGTGAACCTCTTCTCAGTTTCAGGTCTCAATATTCACCCGACGGCGTTGTCCGGCGCGGCGCTGAGTCCGGCCGCCTTTTACACGCAGTCCATCAGCCGGACGTCTCACCTGACTCCGCAGCACGCTCACACGCAAGCGCCGACGTGGCACACGCCCACGGTGCCCCCGAAGAACATCACGCCGGCGAGCACGACGAGCACCCCCCTGTTCAATCTGCAGATGCTGGTGGATAGGCCGAACCAAAATCAGTACAGAAACTCGCCGGGCTCGCAGAGCACGCTGGACCTCTCGTCTACGTCGGAGATCATCCCGGAGAATTACTCACGGATACCTCAGGATATTCCCATCAGTTTGACCGCGAGGAACGTCGACAAGGGCAGTCGGAATGGCAACATAATCTCACCGCCGATACCGTTGAACGGCGAGACCTCGTCGGACAGCGGTATCAGCTCCTCCGTGCCGACTCCGAACTCCGTCAGCGAGCCGGTCTCGTTATCGACGAAGGAGGTCACCACACCTAAGATAACGGTGAAGAATTTCGAGAGCAACTTGAAGGGAGTCGCGAATCTCCACGATAAGATTAAGGAAATGAATGTAGATAATTTTACGCAGAAAATGATCAACTTACCGCCCAGCGTGACGATAGAGAGGGTGGTCGCGGAGAAGAAGGAGCCCGAGACGGCGGTGGTGGCGGCGGCGAAAGCCAAGGACACGTTGAGTGTGATCGCGCAAGTGCCAAGGAACGTCTTACCCGTCATCGTGAATCGCACGGCCAAGGAGAAGGATGTTACGGACAGTCCCAAGAGGGAATCGTCCTCCGAGAGGGACAAGAAGCTCGACGAGACGAGCGTGAGGTCGCCGAAGAGCCTGCCGAAGAGGGGCAAGAAGGGCGTCGATTCTCTACTGGAGAAGCTGGAGGGCGGTAACAAGAAGCTCGGCAGTACGGAGAACATCGGCTCGGTGATCGTGACGCCGGTCGAGGAGAAGGACAGCTCGAGCGTGAAGAGCATGTCTCCGGAGCGACAGAAGTCCAAGTCGCCGAATCGGGAGGACGAGGTGGTCTCGCCAGCGTTCAGCAACGACGACTCGAACGACAACACGAAGCAACAGCGTAGGAAAAGAAAGCTCGAGAAGCCGGTGAGGCTCAGTAAGGACTCGAAAACGGAGGTCGAGGACATGGAGCTCGAGCCGACGGAACCCTCGGAACCGAGGGCCATCATCGACCCGGTGCTGCTGGAAGAGACCGCCAACTCCTCCTCCGTATCGACGACGCCCGGTGCCAAGGCGGAAGAGGAGCACCGGCAACCGGTCGCCGCGGCGACGACGGCGGAGGAGAGAATACCACCGAGTGAGAAAGCGGCGGAGGACGAGAGGTCGGAGGAGGAGGAGAGCCAGCCGATCCAAAGGCGGCGGAGTTGCGAAGGTACGGCCAGTAACTCGGCGAATCAGAGGGTACGGAGAAAATCGAGCGACGACGCGTCGTCCACCGAGTTCGCGAAGGCGCTGCCGAGTCCGAAGAACAACGCGACGAACAACAACAATAACGCGACGAACTCGTTCAACGAGGTCGAGTCGGAGCTCGAGAAGATGTTCGCCGGTATCGTGGAGACGGACTCGAATATCAAGAGCGAAGAATCAAAAGCGGAACTGGCGAGCGCGGAGATCCAAGTCGGCGACGACGACGCGAGCGTGAAGCTCGAGGGCCTCGAGAACAATATTCTGCCGACGACGAGCGCAAACCCGAGCGCCAATCCCATCGACGTGTCCTCCACGGTGGACGCGAAGCTCTCAGGGAAGAAAGGCAAGAAGGGCAAGGCGCAGGGCCGCAAGCGAAAGATCTCCAGGTCGTCGGAGAATATTTTCGGCACGGCGAGCGACGCCCTGATGAAGGACGTGAAGAAGAGGCGGACGTCGAAAGGCTTGAAGAAGCAGGAACAGTCGAAGAAGGCGAAGCGCAACACCAAGATCGACGGCCTGAGGGAGATGGCTTACGATTCCGGCTCGAACGCCAGTTCCATCAGGTCGCGGGGACCGGTCGTGCACGTGGAGGGCCCGAGGGACAGTCCGCTGAGCATCCAGGTGGTCAACGCGCCCCGGGAGGAGGAGGAGGAGAAAAACAAAGAGAAGAGGAAAAGCAACGGCAATGGGAACGCGGGACGTGGCAGCAAGAGGCTCAGTCACCAGAACGATTTGGATTACAGAGGTATGTATACGAACCTACGATAGGCACAGACCGATTTTCACAGTTGGGTCTTATACAGGGTGTCCGCAAAGCCCGGGAATTTATACAATGTATTAATGCGGTCGAGTAGGTGAAGAAACGTTAACTTATAAATGCTTTGTTAAAAAGTTACAAACGTTCAGAGATTTACAAGCGGAATTGTTCTTTTCGAATGTGGTTCTTACATGAGTGCTGTGTCCCATTTTGGAAGGAATGCATGCGAGTTTTTCAATTAACAATTGCCTCAGCGTTGGATCGATCGTCGCGGATCAATTATTTCGCCTCTTAGGCTATCAGATTTAACGCTTCTTGACTTTTATTTGTGAGGTCACCGCGCAAAACAGTTGGTTTATGAAAATCTGATGGAAACTGAATATCAGCTTTGGGAGTGTATTCAAAGTTTAGTTACTATTATTCCTAGTACAGTAAGAATACTCGAGAGAGTTCAACAGTCGTTAATTCGGCGAATGGGAGTCTGCGTTCTTGCGGAGGGAAGCATTTTCGAATATTTATTTCGACTGTTGCAACAACTGATGAAGTCCGTGTATAATTCAAGACGTGTAAACCGTTCTGAGTCAGCGATTTCGCCAAATAAGTTATAGAGAACAATTCTGCTAAATCTTGGAACGTTTATAACTCTTTAACAAGGCATTTTCGGACATTATATGAGCTTTTTCACCTACTCGACCTCGTCGACATGTTGGATAAATTTGACTCTGACCTTTGTAGACACTATTTCAAAGATCGTTTCTAATTAATTTTTAAATACGGATCATTTCATTGGCTATATCTGAACCTACTGAAGACAAACTTGAAACTGCCATAAATATGAGATCTGTCTATGAATATAAGTCATAGAGCTGCTTCGAATTTACGACGGAAGTCTCGAATTGTTCGAAACGTTATCCGACAGCAGAACATTGCGAATGTTTCTCATTTGATAATAATATATGCAGTTAGCCAGGCGTTTATTACCGGCATGTTCACGACTCTATCACAGATCCTATCAGGATTCTTGAAACGTTTCGATTCCACTTGAACGTTGACCATCCCGTTGAAGTACACGTGTAGCTTCAGAAATATTCGATTCTAAGCCCCATGTTTGTCCGCAGGTAGAGTCAACAACGCGGGCCTCTTCAGTTCGACCCTGTCGTCGCGATATGACGCGCACACACCGGACTCGACGTGGGTCTGCGTGTTCTGCAAACAGGGTCCGCACTCCGTCATACCCGGCGATCCGTCCAGACCGCACCCGAATCTGGCCGGACCGCATATCGATCCCGGCACGTACACGGTAGGTGTTTCTTGCGAATCTGTTTTGTCACAAAGATAAGATATTTGGCAATATGGAATACAATAGGGAGGAGATATCGTATGGTTCACCTTTATTAAAATGTTATCGATACGTGCACACACAACAGGTGCCGGCGGGTGTATCGGGCGACTTGTTCGGGCCGTATTTGATCGGCAAAGACCGGTTGGAGGATGGCAAAGAGCGGTTGGAGGACGGCATCCTGTCCGCCGACGAGCAGGAGATCACCAGGGAGCAGAAAAAGGGCGGCAAGAACAAGAGGAGCCTAAGGTACGCGGGCCTCGCCGACCAGTTCTCTGCCAAGATGGGCAAGAAGAAGCGTAACTCCGTCGAGAGCAACACGAACGCCATGTTCACGGGCATGACCATGCTTCCCGGTGAAGAGCAACGCTGGGAGGTGTGGCTACACGAACAGTGCGCGGTGTGGGCGGCTGGAGTTTACATGGCGGGTAAGCGTTAGAAACTAGGAGGAGTATCCAAGGAGGTAGGGACGGTTAATGATTGGTGTGTAACGCGGGCATTTCCTACAGGTGGCAGAGTGACGGGACTGCAGGAAGCGGTGTGGGACGCCGCCAAGTCGATATGCTGTTCCTGCGGCCTGACGGGCGCGAACATCGGTTGCGTGAAACGAGGCTGCAAGGCCGTCTCGCACTATCCTTGCGCGCTAACGAAAGGTTGGCACCTCGACACGAATCAGTACATACCTAAGTGCAACCTTCATCGAGTCACGTGAAACACCGGTGAGTCCCCGACGGTCGTGTACAGGTTGTAACGTGGATTTAGGTCGTATTCATTATATCATGTGACGAGATCCGGCTTTAATTAGAATGCACCGAATAATGGGCAATAACACAACGTAAGGGACTAAGTATATAAAAATTCATTCATGACTGAAGAAGATAGCCTTACTAGTTAGTAAGGTATGTTCTAGTTAACAAAGCGTGGAGCAAAACATTCTCTCATCGTGTAATCGAAACACAATCGCTCGCGTGTGCGGTGTAAGAGTTGCGTTGTGATCGGGACTTAGGAATACCATAAGTAAGTAAGCGGCGAAGTAAAACCGACCGGAACCTACAAATAATAAATCTAACGCTGAATCGATACTCTGGTTTTCCTCTCTGTTTTAACAGATAGAAACTGATTTCTTTCTCCTTTTGGCAACAAGTGCGCGGGGAGATGTTTCGAGGCAACGCTTTGTGTATCGTTTGATACATATAAGTGCATCCTGAAGAGGGTGAAAGTATAAGTGTGAGAGCGATTATACTGATTTCCAGACACGTATATAGAATCAATATGCTCGAGAAAAGAAAGAATAAAAAGAAACAGAAGACCTTCCAATGTACAAGGTGTTTACTGCGAGATCACTATTTAAATGTCTCTGAGAATTCCAAAAGAAAAGATAGAAAAAAAATAAGATACGCGGGACGAACGTGAATGTGAAGAAGTAAAAATTCTTCTCATTGATTGTGAATTTAATTGATTTTCTTGGCCTGTGGCCTTGAACAGTGGCCTTTTCGACTTAATATAAAAAGAAAAGCAAGATTTTTTTAATTTTGAATCTGTAGAATAGACGGATCGCTATTGAGGAACAATGATAATCAAAAAAGAAAAAAACGAAAAAAAAGGGGGAGAAAGAGCAGCGAGGGGGAGGAGGAGAGAGGGAAAAAATGTTTGCTTTTTTACTCATCTTTACGAAACTTGAAAACACGACAAGCTTTCCTAACATCATTGTACACAGGAATACATACATAGGGCATATTGTACCAAATCGTTATCGAACTTGATGAAAGCTATAAAAAAAAAAGAAAGGAAAGGAAAAGAACAATTGTGCGACAGCTATTAAAATCGGATGTGCGGAATCGCATTAAAAGAAAGAAAAAAGAAACGATTGGGTCGGTAACCGTAAGCGGAAATTGAATATTCTTTGTCTTTTCTTTTGCATGAGGCTCGAGCATAAAGCATGTGTGCAGACAAGTGTTCTCTGATAAATGTAAAAAAGAAAACTGAACTGTTTGTACATACGAAAAGAGAAGAATAAAAGAACTATTATATTATTGAGACATCACGTGATTATGTTTCAACATTTCATTTTGGCTTAGAAGCGCATATCTTTATTGTTATAATAGTCGCGAGAATGCATGTGCTTTGTGACAGAGAACAGCATATACCTGACGATTAATTTATATATGTTGTACTTCGTTTTGTTTGTGTCGTTGTATCATAAGTCATTAATTGTGTGCATATACGCGCGCGCGCACACACACATACACACAGAGCTACACATTCAAATACAACACGCACGCACGCACGCAACACGCACACGATCGTCCGTTTAAAAGAGTGCCCACCACTTTTGCTACAGTTTTATTGATATTTCTTTATGTAGAGTCGCTTTATAATGCGTTGATTTGTTGATGATCTTGCATGTTAACAATAAATTGACGATTTCTCTAAAAGCGAGAAGGGGAAATTCACCAGATTGAATTTTCTTCTCACAGAAGCCGTATTTAACTATTTATATAATTTCTTTATATATATCTTGTGCTCACGCATTGAACGAGGTCGCATTGTGATTTCTTAAACTGAGAACACTTGTAAGACTTATCCCTATGTATCTAAATGTAATATAAGAAAAGAAAGAACCACATCTCATTGTACTCGGTGATATATGTTTTGTACGATGTACATTCGCTGTCACCATCTTCGATGCGCGCGTAAAAAAACAACCAGTGGCTAACATTCATAGTATCATCTGTAATTTTTACTGCGTATTAGCGATTTAATTGAGATTGCGCTACGCAGTATTACAGAATTTGATTTTATGTATGTATATTATATTTTTTTTTTTTTTTCGTATATCAATATTGCGGTTTTCTTTGCTATAATCGTTGTCACCGTTCTCATCGTATTTTATAAGAGCATGAGAGTGAGAAAGCGAGAGAAAGGGTGTGTACGTGTGCGCGCGCGCGCGCGCGCGTGTGTGTGTGTGTGTGAGAAAGAAAGAGAAAGAGAGAGAGACACATAAGTTTTTGCTACGATGTGTAAGAACACTAACGATTCTCTTGTCGCTTCAGGGAGAACTAGCAAAGATCAGGAAAATTGTATAAAAAAATATATAGAGATATAATATGTACATACATTTACGTAGGGGATGGTATATATACGTACATAGATTATGTGTATGTAGTGTACGGATATACATATATATTTATATGTATATACGTATAAGTACATTACACATACACAAGTATATATTGAAAATAGTCGCCACATCTTCTCCCACAGCACAGAGCCCGATAAATTAAGTATAATCATTTTTAAATAGTAACTATATAAATATATAAATATATATTTAGAGATATAAAGATCAAGATTATTGAGCGTAAAGAGAATTCTTTATATATATATATATATAATATATATATAATATATATAATATATATATAATATATATATATATATCGTGTATAGCAACAAATGTAAAAAAAAACTATCTCAGAAAAAATTTTATTCAGACGCGTAAATTTTGTTTTAAGAATAGTAATAAAAGAGCTCGATGAAGCACACATTCAGTACTTTGAAGAAGAGCAACACGAAGCCTCTTGGTTTTTCTTTTTTCTTCTTTTTTTTTCTTTCTTTTTTTCACGAGACTTCTTGACAAGCGAGATTTCGACGCTCCTAGACGTTCTTGAAAGTTCTTTTGTATAAAACGGAGACGACGCAGCCAAAAAAAAGGACAGAAGGAAAGAAAATGCCGCCTAGTGATTAAACAGAGAACATTGAATTGTAAACGAGACGCTTATATTCTGCAATTGTATATGAAGGAGAGACAAAATTTTATCTTATAAAGGAGATAAATCTGTAATATTAATCATTACTTGTGATATAAAAGAAAGAGTGAAAAGGAACGAAAGGTAAAACAAATTTCCGATGAGAAAGGCGAAGTCGTCGAAGACTTCGTCCTTTGTCCTCGTCACGTAAAAATTCTGCATATACAGATCGATCCTCATGTACAGTGCATAGAATTTTTGTAGCGGGTCGGTAAATATAACGTTGTATACATACCACTTTGTAGACCCGTCTCTGCGCTACGGATAGATAAATAAATTGTCGCGTCGCTGGAAAAAGATTGTAGAGAGAGAGAGAGAGAGAGAGAGAGAGAGAGAGAGAGAGAGAGAGNAGTGAACGATTTCTTTCTCTCTCTCTCTTTTTTTCTTCCATATATGTAGAATCGGCTCGAAAGAAGAACAAAGATGCGAGGAAAAAGGGAGGGGGAATTTGCGCTGTGGGGAAAAATGTTTCGCGCGTTTACCGTTTCGATTTGTATAAATGAAACATAAGCTCGGCTTGTAAATTGCACTTTCGACGGGTGAAAGCGTGTAACGGAGGAGGAGAAGGATGATGATGATGATAATGATAAGGATAAGAAGGCGTTGAGACGTGTCAGGGGCGAGAATAGTCAAGCGCAGACAAACCTGAATATCACAATGCCTAAGTAATTTGTATAAAAGATAAATCTGTAAAGTAAACAAAAAAAAAGAAAAACAGAGAGAGAGAGAGAGAGAGAGAGAGAGACCTGATCCGCGTCGTTGTGATATGATGAGCGCGGATGTGAGAAGAGGAATTAGTAGCGCTATTGTTTGCAACGGTTGCTTGGAGATTGGCAATGGCAAACCGAAGTATTTCGTATATTTTTGGTTTTTGGAAGACGAGAACAAAGGATTAGGATTATCGCTTTATTACTTCGTATCTTCGTATGTTTTAAGACTAATTTGTTTGGTCTATTTTTTTTCTTTTCTCTCCTAGCTTTCCACCCCCTCCCTCTTTTTCAACCTTTCTCCACACAATCTTCCCCTCGATCTTTCTAATTTACCCCTCGTATCTTTCTCTTCTCTCAAGTTGAATAGATGTACCACTTTTTTTTGTGACCTGGTTTAATATTAATGATTATTAAGAGAGATATCAGTTAAACTCTATTTAATAATTACGGAATGGTAGAGAAAAAATCGGCAAATTGTATTTGAAAATCAATACAATAATACGATTAAGTATACATCTTTGTGTAAAATATAAATACAATAAATAATAAAACACGATATACATGTGTGTGTGCTGTGAGACATTGTAGGTGAGAATTACTCCTGAATATATTCCCGATAACCGTTGCAGTATTGTAAAATCGTACAGGGCTTTTTTACAGCGACGACAAATTTCGAACGCGACTCGCGCGCTCATAATTACGATGTAAGATTTTCACCACAGGCACTCCCGAGAGAGAGAAAGAGAGAGAGAGAGAGAGAGAGAGAGAGGGGGAGGGGAAGGCAAACTTGACGGTTATAAACTTATTTTTGTAATTTTACGAAAAAGGGAGATAAACTTCCGCGAAGAACAGCTTTCTGATTCCGATTAAGATCTGTTTTGTAATAATTTTATTATTGTATTAGACTTTACCGTAATCTGTTAACACGATGATCTATTTATTTTAATAATATAAATATAGATGGTAAACTTTAAACAGCCATTGAGTTGTTTTATTTAAAAATAAGGGTCGCCTGATTCATCGTCGTGTAAAATAACATATATGTACCAGTGAGGCCTGTCTGACTTATCGTAGACTCGCACTACGACCTTGTTTTTTGCGAACAGAAGTGGCGGTTCGTAACGGAGAGACTTCGCAACTGAAATTTGTCACAGATTCGAATCATTTTTTTCTTTTTAACTGAGATTCAAACCCTTTTGGCAACGAGCTTCTCAATCGATACCGCTACGTGGCGTTAGACAAGCCCCATTAGCCCCCAAAAATAACAGGTCTGACAATCGCAGTGTTTCTCAGACCCGTTAGTTCTCGGCATGTGACGTCACACATTAGTTTTAAAGTCTTCGCTACGAGCCGCCACTTTCCTCAACGAAGAATCGAGAAGTCGTAAGCAAAGCGTGGAAAATTAGTTTGTAAGACTGTGTGAGAAAATAATGTTTTTCTATTAAAAATAGATCATGGGTTGTGTAGGCAATATTCCTTATTTATCTATTATATTTCCCTAGTTACCTATTATATATGTTTATATCCTCAAGAAAAAGAAATCAAGGTCGTAGTACGACTCAACGCCAAGTCAGACAGGCCCGTTTGTTTCCAAGTAGCACGGCTCAATGACGACTTGGACGAGTTGTTTATTCTGAAGTTGGACTTCGTGGCACATCAAAGGACATTTTTAATCTGAAGCCGAACGTTTCAATGATAATTCGAAAAACTTTTTATTTTCAAACAACACAAACAAAACGGAGAATCGAACGAATTTTTTTTACCCGCCACCGTCGAGGCGAACACCCGTTCTCGACGTTGAACGGCAATAAAAACTAGAAAATGCAAATTCGAACGGGAATCGGTATTCCCGAGACGATCTTCGAGTCGAAACGCGCGTTCGAATCTTCCTTTCGACATCGGTTGCTTTCGAGCAAGACATAAGCCAACGCAAGCCTAGTTATATCATTTCTTATCCTTCTTTCGCCAAATATGGAATAAGGACGGAAAAATTTGCATTTCCAGCGAGAGACACAGATCTAGTTATATCACCATTTATCCTTATTTCGCAGTTAGTAAAGAAAAAGTACAATAGATGATATGACTAGACTCACGTCGACTTGTATCTCTTTTTCTGGAAAGCAACCACTATCATTTGTACTTATCTCGCAATTAGTAAGAAGAAAGATAATATGTACGATATAACTAGACCCGTCTTTTGCTGGAAAACGAGCGTCGTCAGCACCTCCAGCAGCTCCTCGGACAAGTAGCAACGAGTAGCGGCAGCGAGTGGTGGCGGCGGCTTGAGTCGTCGTCGTCGAGAGAGCGCCTTCCCCCTTCCACGCGTGTGCCGAATAGCGCGCCTCAGTATGCAGCGGGACGTCACAGGAGCCGGCTGTGACGTTATTTGTCGTCCGTCGGCGCGCAAACGAGCGAGCGATCCGAGCACGCGAATTACTATGATCGCGCGCGAGACCTCGTGATACAACGTGTCTCTCTCTCTCTCTCTCTGCACCGTCGCACCCGGGGAAATTATGTCGACGCGAAATGAGTGAGCCGACGACGCTACTGGTGCTGCAGTTCCTCCTCACCGCCTTCCTCGCCTGCCTCGCGGATTACAGCCGGGCAGAGGATGACGACACGCTAGGTGAGCGAAAAAAACGCGAAGAGCGCGAAGAACCGCGTCGCACTTTGACACTCGACAGACGGCCTGAGTGCGTGGCGTACGCACGTGGGACACGCACGATCGAACGAGCGAGTAGTTTGTTTTCGTCTTGTTTTCGTTTCGTTTCACGAGAAACGGGGAACATCGCATGGCGGTTTCGTCGCGTGCCCTTTCATCGCGCGCCTCATTCGCCGGCGATTAAGCTGAGCAACGAGACTCGTTGTCCGATGTGCGATGCGCGCGATGGCACGTAAGACCTTAACCTCGCCTCGGGGAAACGTTGCGCTACGTGTGTGTGGAAAAGAAGGGAAAAAAATACCGCTGACACTCATCACAGTCATGCGTTTCCCTGACTCCCCACGTTGCGGTTTCATTTCCGAGCGAGGTTTCCACTTCGAGCTCCTTTCATTCGTCCTACGTTTAACCCGTTGGACATTACGCATATCTTGTAACTGCGTTTATCGCACCATTTTGTGACCTCTTTGTATTTTTTTCCTTTCTTCCATCGAGTGTCGAACGTTTATTTTTGTAATTCTCTACTTTCTTTCTAAACGCAGACGGTTCGTGATTCGGTGCAGGAGGTCGATCGTGCGTCTCAAAACGTAGAAGCGAGAATTGCAAAAGCGAGCGAATTCACTAGTCATTGACCAGTGAAATTATTAATATTCTAGTAAATTCGCTCTACTTCGTAATCCCCACTACGTTTTGAGATTGTACACAATCGACCCTCGGCTCCAAGGGTTGCGTTCGAAAACCCCGTTCGACGGGGTAGATATAGCATTTAGTAGACCAATCATGCGCCACATTCCGAAACGTCCTTTTTGAGCAAAAATTTTACTCGGTACACCTCCGAGTTACAGAAGCAGAAGGATCAATTGGAAACGCTCGTCAAATTTCGGAACGGCCACGAACGGTTTCGGAATGCAGCCGTGATAAAGAAATCTTCGCTCATTTTGATTGGCCAATTTAAACGTTACTCGAGCAGAGCGTTTCGGAAAAACAGATACATCGATGCCGTCGAATTTCCGCGGCATCGAAAGCGGGACTTCGATATCGATCCGGCGCGTTATCGATTCGGCGATTCTCGATCCGCCATTCGAGTCCGCCATTGTGCGCTCGCGTGTGCGAGCGCGCTTAATAACGCGCGCGACTGTCTAAATTAAGAGCGTCCGTAATCACCAGTAACCGTCTCTCGGTGTCCTCTCGTTCTGCTTCCTTGGCATTACATGCGAGACGCGCGCGCACCAGCTACGAGAGAGACGCGCAATCATCCCCCGGTTCAGCAGTTCCGTCCTGCGTTTCACGTGACCTCTCGAATTGGAACTGACGTGCGTTCGAAGCTTCGCGTTTCACACGAGCGCGTTGCACCGGCGGAATAATAATCGCAGAGACGCGGCGAGGAGAGCGAGGATTTTCCTTTCCTCCTGGCACCGCAGCTTGCGCGAGATGAGGAGGGCCTTCGATCCGGCATTTTTAAGGTTAGGTGAGGTAAGGAGAATTTAATTCGACGTGATGCCTCCCCGACAGGCCGATTCTCCGACTTTCAACATCAGCGTCGTCGTTGTTAACCCGAGGATAGTCATCTGATGATCACTTAGATCCCAATTAAAAGTCGCTATTATTAATCAAATATAACACTAATTAAATTATCAATCGCTCTACGATTTACTATTATTTAAGGACATTACGAATATAGATTTTTTCGCTACTTTTTGAAAGAAATGAGGAGAAACCAGAAAAAGAAACATTCAAGAAACAAAATAAGCACATCGAGTGTTCGTGATCGTTTACGTAAGAAGGAAAGAAATAAGGTGACTGTTCCCGGATTGAAAGTTAGAGAGCCGGCCCGCAGGTAGCTACTCATGATGTCCGAAAATCACCCGGAGCGTGTCGAGGATGTTCTGAGAGCGCGTCTCTTAACGTGCCTGAGCACGTCCAGGACGATCTCAGGACATCTTGCGCCATCGGAGTCTCATAGTCCTCGTCGCTACCTTTGTAATTCGACGGACGAACCGCCGTGTTATTTTCTCGCCAGTTTACTCGGCTGCTCTCTGTCTTTGTGCGAGCCGCTGGTGGCACCCGGCGCGTGACGTCCCTTTTCCTGAAGGAAGGCGAACACGAAGCGCGCGCTGGCTATCGGCGGTCAGCACACCGGCCGTCTCGACCGCCGCTAATTGTTGCACAATGTTCTCTCCCCCTCTCTTTCTTTCTCGCGAGTTCACAGGTGCATTGCACCAGAAATCCTCTCTCGGTGTTCGCCCCGCTCAACAACGACGCAGAGTACACGACGCTCGGAAGGGATTACGTCGCCTTTCATTGTAGCCACCTCGAGACACGGCAGCGCGCGAACTAATTCCGCGACGTAGTACTATCTCATCGCGCCTACACCTGTAATCTCTCGGCCCGCTAAACGCGCCAATTTCTCCCGCTGACTGTGTACGTGGATCCCGTCGGCAGTTCCCCTACGAACACTGTCTTGTCGTGCCTGGGAATGACGGCGACGGTAATCTCCCTTATCGGTGGATCAGGTTTGTCGCGGAACATCGGTTGCGAAAACGAGCGTGCTCCCGATGCAACACCGCACGGATGTTAGTCGAGAGTCGAGTTTACGATTCTGCCCTAATCGGTGGAACTTATTTTACGTGCATCTTTCTTTTTTATACCTTTCAATGTGCCGAATGCATTTGCAAACGTTGATTGCAAGCTAAATTGATGGGAAAATAGGATAAAAAGATATAAGAAAAGCATAAATAAGGTTCCGTCGCTTAGGACAAAATTTGTTTTGCCCATCGTTTTTTTTCTATACTGCGTACGTTTCGAGCGGTAAAGGAGAAGAAAGAGAAAGCGAGGAAACGTACATGGATTTCCAGCTGCGGGAAACCGACCCAAGGTGATCCGATTTGATCCGCCTCGATATCGCGGATATCAGCGATATCGTGAATATCCACGGCAGATCGCCGGATCTGACCCGTAATGATCCGAGTTGCGCGCAATGTCGGCGGCCCGCGCTGGTCAGGGCCGCGATCGCGCGGTGTTCTAAAAGTCCGCGCGGGGCACGTATCCGAGAAGCGGGCGCGCGCGTACGGTCGGACGGACGTGAAAACGGTTCTCTCGTCCTTTCACTTCCACAAACGAAACGGACACATCGACCTAATCGCGCTCGATAGCACACAACACGCCGCTACGGTGTGACGTAAGTAGAAAAGCGAACTCGAACCTCTCCGCCTTTTGCTCCGCGCCCTCGCCCTCGCGCTGCACGCACTTGATTCTAGTATCACACGGCGATGTAATCGGGGTTGGCCGGAAAATTACCGCAGGTGGAGTAAGCCATGGTATATTCCGTTTTTCACCGTCCCCGGCTTTATCCAATGGAGAATAAATCGAATAGAAAAGTTGTAAAAAGAACTAATATGTATAACACTAAAATATATATTTATGCAACTTTTTGCTTTAATTGGTAAGTCATATTAATCGCTGTGATTTAAAGAAAAATTGGACCGATATAATAATAAATGTTTTTCAAATTCAGATTGATATGTGTACTGGAAAAAAAATTGCTACGTTCGAGTAAATATTTGCTAAGAGGTATCGGAGTGGTTTATTTTATTTGGATTGAGTAAATATCGTTTGAATATAGCACCTTTTTTTTTAATGTACGCTACGTTCAAACAATATTTACTTAATCTAAATGAACTACTCTAATACTTTTTAGGAAATATTTACTTGAAATAATTTTTTTCAGTGTGAAATATATTTTTAAAACAAACACTTTGGAAATATAAGTGTCACTCGATTTTATATTAGTTTTTAGTTTAATGAGATAAATAATAGTAACAGAGTTAAACATTTTTATCAACATGGATTTGGCTCGCGTTTACCTTTATTTTAATCTTATTACATGTTTGAAGATGCTGGTGCAGATTCTTGCGCACAGGATCATAATTAAGGCTATAGGACGTCACGGGCTGCCTGTGAATTAAAATATCGACAAGATGGATTTCTACTTATTTTTTTGTTTTTAATAGGAAAGACCAGTTTTGCCGGTTTTTTTTTTCGGAAAATACCAGTTCTTGCCATTTGCATGGACTTTACCTAAAAAATCTGGTATTTTGTCAACTCTGAGTATAATCTCTCTTTTTTGCGATGTCGATAGAGCGTTTAGTTACGTCGAGACTTTCATTGATTTATCCACCGCGTCATTCGGATTGAACGTACGCACATAGAGAAGGAAATGCGGTTCGTGTAACTGACTTTCCGTTATCCGGGGGAGCAGATGCAAACTCGGGCGTACGTGGAAAAAAATGCTGTCGTTAATGAAATTAGTCAATAGCGTCATAACTGGAGTAAACTTTCTCGATTTACCAGTAATATCCACGAGTGAAGTTAGTAAGATACATCGCACACTGCTTTAATAATTCGGGCATTCCATTAATTTCAATGCTATTGCCGTTGAATCAAGAAAATTTACTCCTATCGTTCAGCCAGTTGTTCTTTCAGTTACCCCAATCGAGTTCAGATATTTCATCTCCGCCGAATATTGAGGAAAAATTTTTCTCGGTTACGATAACAGAGGTATCGTTCACCTCGTCATCGAGTCCTCGTCTGGTCTCCATTCAGTTGAACGAATCGTTGTGAGATTCTTTTCCCATGCATTCACACGCAGATATAATCTACGACGTATCGTTAGTAACGGTGGAGTCTCTTTTTTTTTGCACTAATTCCCTGCTAATTCTCGTTACGACGTTCTGCCGCACTGCATCTCATGTAAATTTCCTCGACGGTGGTTTTCACTTTCGTCTTTTTGCAAGACGTTAATGAACGCTCGGTACTGCACGCGCAAATTTCACCAAAGATTAGTCGATATTACGAGCGGAGCGATAACGGTGCTAGCGTAAAAGTCACGCTGCGAGCGGTAATGCGAGCCATTTCGTAGCGACCAGTGAAAGTTCGATGACCATGTAGTCTGTTACAAAGAAAAACGAATCCGAGACGGAGCCCTCTCTTTCTCCTCCTTCTGCTCTTCCTCTCTCATTCCAGCCTCCTTAAATCATACAACACACGTGACGTCGCATTTGCAATCGCGGATTCAACCCTCGCATCTGAATTCTAAATTCAACTCGGGACAAGTGACGGCTGTTAATACGGCTCTTTGTCGGGATTTGAAACAGACGCTCGAGACGGGGAGGAGGGAGAGGGGGGTAGAATTTCAAATAGGGCCGAAGGGATAGTTAAGCGGCGAGTATATACGCGAGATCGTTGGAGAACACGAAAAATAGGGAACAACACACCGTCTGGAATTCCGCGCTGCGAACAACCGAGATCGGTTGGAAACTTCGCTCGAGTCGTGCGAGAGCGGCGGTTCGCCGCGGAGCACGCTCTCCTCCGCGCAGGCTTCCGGTGCATTGTTGTTTGCGATACCGTTCCGACTCCGCCGCGAACAATTTCGCAATCCACGACCTCTTCCTTCCTCTTGGCTCGCTCGTGCGATTCGCAAATACGCTCCTCCGCGTTATTGCGTTACCACACCGTAATACCGTCGGAGAGCATTCTCCTCGTCGCGAAATTGCTCCCCATATTTCTCTCTCTTTCTCTCTCCGTCTCTCACCCCACCTTGAGTGGCGTGTCGACCGGGCATGTCCGGGGTACTCGTGTGACACGCGTCACTGACGTGACGTCGTCGTCGTCGTCGCGATGAGCGGTGGCATCCTGTGAGCGACGTGCTCAATGCCCGAGAGAACCGGCGATGGCCAGCATTGACCATTATCGCGCAGATGAGAAGATTGGCCATGGAGCTTTCGTAATTAACGCGCTCCTACGTACACGTGTGTCCACGAGCCGTTTTGTTCTCGCGGCGCTCTCTTCGCGCGAGACGACGCGCTTCGTTAACACTTTCGCGACTCTCGCGCGCGCGCGCAGACGACCGTTCTCGCGTTCATCCTTGAGCAAAGAAAGGAACTCGGCGAATTTCACGGTTACGACGATTATTCCGCGCGATCACCCCGTCCGTCTCTGGGAACGATCGTTCGTTCGAGCACCTGTAGTGAGAGTATGACCATTGTCTGATCTTTGATTGGATGCTCAGCTTCTAGTTAGGATGTGTCGGGGGTTGCTTCTCAGCAAGAGGCAAAAGTCGAAGTGTGGGTTATGTGTCGTCTATTTGTAGTTTTCCCTTCCAAATGCAAAATGATGATAAACGATGATGCACGGAGAAGATATTATAGTGAATATTAAAGAAGACCACACGTAGTAATTCTGTAGTGACATAATCTTGAGTAATGTGTATATACATTTTACACATCACTAAAGATTACAACACACACGTAGTAATTTCGATAATAATTCTGGTATGTTCTGGCATTGCAAATGTTTGAAGCATTTTTACGATATTCTTCTCGTGTAACTAGACTTGTGAAAAACTTGCTGAAAAACAATCAGAGTTATTAGCTGAGCGACCGCAGAAGCAAAAATTTGCCATCTACGAGGTTTAC